CAGGTAGTGTACATTCAAGTTTGTTCAAATCATGAACCCCCCCCCCCCCCAGGGTAGGGTGTTAGACATACAGTGGTACCTCGGTATATTGCCCTCCGTTATATTGCCACCCTCGCTTATTGCCAGGAATTCTCAAAGAACGGATTTCCCCCTGTGTTAATACACCCGTTATATTGCCATCCCCGCTTATTGCCATCCGCCACTGGTTTTGGGAAACAAAGGGTTAAATTATGTAAGGAAAACTCTCGGTAACAATGCCAATTATCTAGCGCGTGTCGGTAATTTGAACACCACACCCGTGCTTTGACAGTATTTGCGGTGAAGCGTGACTGGCTGAACAAGGAATTCAGCTAAATTAAAGATAATTGTTGTATAAAACTCAAAATTAGCAATGTCTTTGGCGTGTGTTTATAAAGATAGAAGATTATTTCATCACAATAATGGAAACGTTCAGGCGAGAGAAAGCATAGATTACGAAAAAAAAAGGATTCATCAACATTCGATTTGATTGTAAATCGCCGATTATTGCTTATCATGGATAATGCACAAAACCATAATAAATGCAAAAATTAATTTGTATCCCCTTAGATTAAGAAGCTATTCAATCGATCAAAAAGGAAACCCCATACTTATTTTTAAACTACTATGGTTCCGCATGTGAAAATATTAGGGATTCCGTTGGCCCTGAAATGTTCTTAAATTGTCGGACATATATTGGTTTGATTGATAAATATCAAAACAGAATCGGAAGAGAAGTACACAGGTACTAGCAAACATGAGAATGCATGTTTAATATAACGGGTTGACGTATTCTGACATGCGACTTACCATTCGTCAGTCATGATGCTTTACCATTCGAACTTTTAACTGATTCAGAAATTCTTGAGACGGTGAAATAATCTACTTTCAATTCAGATGAAATTAATGATAATTCTCAAAACCTTTTTTTATCCCAAGTAGCCATAACAGCCTTTGTCATCCGGTTATTCAATTCTTAGAGCATGACGAAAGGAAATTGATGTGTTCAATACTCTGGTATTTTATTTCTTTTCAGTCAAAATATTGTAAACAAAGAAGAAAAAAACAATAATAATGACTTTTCCCCCAAAAAGAAATGAAAGATGTCCCTATACACATGTGACATAAACAGACTGTAACTGAAATAAATTACGTAATGTATTTATTTTGTTTGATAACCAACTGAATTGTAATTTATGGCAGAATTCGTTATATTGCCACCCTCGCTTTAATGCCAAAATCTGTCTTGGACAAAAGTTGGCAATATACCGAGGTAGCACTGTATTTAAAATTCTGTTTTAAAGAACAGCAAAATCATGATTAGTTATATGAAGATAGAAGCATCCTCAGAAGGTTTATATTCAGTTTCATTCAAAACATGGCACCTTGGGGTAGAGTATGCCTAGAAGAGGCGATCAAAGCTTTATATATGAATATATAGGAGAAATATAGGAGAAGAAATCTGCTGACGAAGAACAGCAGGGCCATATTGACTCAGGTGAGCGTTGTGGCCCATGGGCCTCTTGTTTAAAAATGTTTGGTGTTAATTACATGGAAGTCCTTTTTTCTAATGGTTATTTGATTGTTTCATTAAATATTGATGATGTTTAAATGTTTAATTACTAATGATTTCGTTACAGAGCCTGCTGTGATAAGCTAGGAACTGGAGTTGTCCAGAGTATTGTGGATCTCTTGTGGAATCAGCTCTGTCACATCTGGTCCGTTGGGAATTCTTCTAATCAAGGTAAGTGTAAATCTTTGTGTTGTAGTTAATGTCCACTTGTTGAATGGTATAAAATATATGAGTTGTTCTTGAACAGTAGCATTTTTGACATTTTTAGGTTCATCATTATTCTGCACACTTGTTGAAAATTTTGCTTTATAACTAATGTTTTTCTGTAAGAAGTATCATTCATAATTAAAATATACATGATTTCAGCATACCTTGAGGGGCAAAATTTGACAGATTGGGCCTTTTAATTTGAAAATTTTATAAAGAAACTAATTCTACCTTACTACCTTATAGTGCCCCATTCCCTACAGACTTCAATGAATAAAACTTTTAATTTATTTATTTACCAAGTAAAGTACCAAGCAGATATAGCCGTTTGAGCCAATCAGATTTCTGTGCATGCAAATGTGCCTGTTTTCAAGAATTGTCATATATATAATCTCACAGTATCTTGTAAAAAAGGTTTACATTTTAAAATTCAAAGAATTTAATGGAAAACTTAAAATGTTAACCAATTAAAAGTCAGCATAAATCACTAAATTTTTCAGCTGCTGAATTACTTAGTAATTTGTTATGTAGTGTAAATGTAGATTGACCTATTGACCTTGAAAATGGTTGGCTAATGGTGATGGCCAAGTTTGACAATATAATAGGATTTTTAGTAGGTATGGAAATCTGCAGTGGCAGTATGAGGAGGTGACAAAATACTGTGGTGACAGTGTACTTGAAGATGATACATTGCACAGAAATTTCAAAAGACGTCTAAGTTTAATGACTGAAATTAGATGTAAATGAATCCCATAAAAGTTGTTAATGGAATGAAATATACGAGGGTTGATCAAAAGTAATGTCACAACTACTTTTAAATCCTTAATTATCAAATGTTTTCCTCAAAACTTTATATAATACATGTAATACCTTTATCTATTTTGACTTTTGCCCTAAAATTCATTCAAATATATGCAATATTGAAATAAACACAATGTTGGGTCTTGTATTTTGTAGCACAGCAACAATGTACTGATGTCGTTATGATGTTTCTCCTCGACACTCAACTTGAATCTGATAATACATAAGATATACATAAAAGGAATGGATTTAGAAAAAAAAACATATAGACAAAGTTCAAATGATTTTAATACTTCAGCTCAAAACAAGACGTTTTATAGCAAAATGGCCACAAAGATTATTTAAAAAGAAGCACTAGAGAGGTTAAAAATACTGTATACAGGTTTTTTTTCGCCCCCTCTTATTTTCGCCCTTTCACAGTTCACACTTGCAAACAATTTTGCCCCGATTTAAATTCACCCAGTTGCAGTTCTGTTTAAGAAATTATACTATGTTCTTTGAATTCGCCCTTTTTAAATTCGTGTGAGAAGGGCGATAGGGGCGAAAATAAAACAGGGGTAAAAATTTTCCTGTACACAGTATATGCATATGAAATGAAAATGAGTGCCAAAAAGTAACGTCACAATGATGACGGTTACATTCTTGCCTTAGGGCGATAGCCCATGTCTAACGTTGTGTTTATCATACTATTTTGAAAAGTGTTTTAATCCGAAGAAATTTTAAGGCAAAAATTAAAATAGATAGGTGTATCAGTGTGTCAAATTTGGTTATTGAAAATTTTGTAGCAGTTGTGACATTACTTTTGAATCAACCCTCGTAAAATGATGAAAATCAACAGATTGTGATTTTATTATCCCTTTAGAAATTCGTGATGATGGCTGGCAGTCCTCCTTAGGGAATTTCCTGTTGTTTCTGAGGAGAGTGGCAGCCGCCCCTGCAATGCAAAAACACTTGACATCCAGGAAGTGGATCTCTAGAATACTGGCCATGACAGGACAATTTGATGAATCAGGTAGTGAAGAGAATGAAATGTTCCAAAGTATTTTGATGGTTGTGATTTAAACATTTTTAACTCACCTGAGCCAAAGGCTCCAGTGAGCTTTTCTGATTGAAATTTTCCATCGTCTGTCATTGTTGTTGTTGTTGTAGTAAACTTTTCACATTGTCATCTTCTCTAGAACAACAAAGCCATGATTAGTCATATTTATATGGAGACATTCTCAGGTGGTGTAGATTCAAGTTTGTTCAAAATATGAGCCCTGGGGGTAGCATGGGGCCACTATGAGCAATCAAAGCTTTACTTAGGGATATATAGGAAAAATCTTTAAAAATCTTCTTCTCAAGAACAGCAAGGCCATGATTAGTCATGTTTATGTGGAAGCATTATCAGGTGGTATAGATTCAAGTTTGTTCAAATCAGTTGGGTGCGGCCACAATGGGAGATCAAAGTTTTACATAGGAATATATTGAAAAAAACTTCTTAAGAACATCAAGGCCATAATTAGTCATATTTATGGAAACATCCTCAGGTAGTGTAGATTCAAGTTGATTCAAATCATGACCCTTGGGACAAGGATAGAGGCCTAGAATCATCAGACTTTGTCAGTGTGCATTTTGGGTAGAAGATGTATCGCACATTAGGTCACTGCAACATTTAATAAAGATATGACCATTAAAGTTTGGTCACTGCAACATTTAATAAAGATATGACCTAATATGGCAATACCCTGTCCAACTCTTAACTGTAAATTATTTGGCTTAGAATCATCAACCTGGTCAGTGAATACCTGCATCTTTGGTAGAAGGTGTGTCCCACCCTACCTTAAGATTACTGTGACCTTTATTATACCCCCTCTTAGAACGCAGTATTCTCAGCACTTACTCATTGCAGATGCTTGAAAGTTCAGCACACTCTTTGTTTAGGCGTGTCAAATGGTGGGATTCATTTTTGTATGAATCCGATGTCAACTACCTGTTTAACTGTGCATTTGTCCTTACCATACATAACAAATTTTGGTCACAGTTTTCTCAGCATTTACTCCTCCCAGATGCTTGAAATCTTAGCACACTCTCTGTGTAGGCATGCCATATGGTGAGATTCAATTTTGTACGAATCAGATGTCAACTTACTGTTTATCTGTGTGTCTGTCCGTACCATACATAACAAATTTTGATCGCAGTTTTCTCAGGAATTACTCATCACAGATGCTTGAAATATAAACACACTTTTTGTTAGGCATGCTATATGGTGGGATTCATTTTTTGTACGAAACTGATGTCAACTTCTTGGTAATATCAGTGTGTCTGTCCATACCATACATAGGAAATTTTGGTTGCAGTTTTCTCAGCACTTACTCATTGCAGATGCATGAAAGTTTAGCACACTCATTGTTTATAGACATGCCATATGGTGGGATTCATTTTTGTACGAATCTGATGTCAACTTAACTGTTTATCTGTGCATTTGTCCGTATCATACATAACAATTTTACCTGGTAGTATTTTGATGTTTTATTAGTCAATGTTCATCTTTCTTAAAAAAATGCAGTGAGGAATTAGATTTTGACTGTCAGTCTTACCAATGTGAACACACTCTTAGATCCATAAAATACTTTAAAGGTGATTGGGTACCTTTTCTGCAAACCCCAGTGGGGTATATGTCCATTCAGGACAGTTCTACTTTCAAACAAACTATGATTCAACATATCTTTAAAGGGACTCAAATATCTTTATATAAAGGGCAACAACTATTTGAAGGGGAGACATAAGTGGACACAGTGGGGGTCAAAGTCTTACTTAGGAATACATATACGGTCAAAACTCGTTATCTCGAACTCATTGGGACCAAGAAAAAACTTCATCTTAGAATTTGAGGTATCGAACTTAAAATACATAAAGAAAAGGTGATTGGGACTTAAAAATCACTTCAACTTATCTATGGAATTTGATATATCAGTGTTAAAGATACTGAAGTTCAACTGTATGATAAATCTTTTAAAGACATAGGAATATATATATGATAAATGTTTTCAAGATGCAACACAATAGATCACTAATAGCCATTCTATCCTCATATATTGTTGGTTTAAGCTTGCATAAGTCAGGGACTCTCTGGGCCTGGGGACAGGAGGGGGGGGGGGAGGTGCACAATAGATGTCATAGTCTACATAGATTCTACATATTTAGAAAAAATCTTTTAAAGTGTTATTATCAAGAACAGCAGTGCTGAACTTAAAGTCAAATTAATATGCAAGCATTAACTGTAGTCTAGATGAAAAATGAAATACCAAAGCAAGGGTTCAGATTTTCACATACATGTATTAGGAATATTTAGACTTCCCAAGAACAAGAAAGCAGCAATTCCTAATTTGACACATAGAATTAAAAATGTTTAAATCAAATTCGTATGTTGAAGATTATACATTTTTTGATGGTCACCAGCCTCTTATTGTTGGCCTCATGTTGTCTCCACTCTTGTCCTGTCTGTGTTGTAATTTCTTGGTAGATAAAGGTTGATAAAAAGTTGTATCTCATTTTAGGTAGCATTATCCTGAGCAATATGAGGACAAGGCTGATTGCCTTCAGTGTACTGGAAATGGTCCTCAATTCCTGTGGGAAGGATACAGACCAAAATTACATACAGGAGGTACAAATCAGCTGTTTAACTGGGCATATTTAGAAATTAAAGGCAAAAGGACTTAAATCTGCCCATCCTTGACATTTGAAAGCATGTTTAATAGATTTTTATACGTTTTGAAGGTTTTTCTGTTTTAAGAATTAATAATTAATTGTATAAGACTGCCTGTTAAAAATAACATTTGATTTTGTAAAGGTTGTGGAAGACCTCTTCCAGTGTTTGTCAGACAATATGTGGAAAATTCCCCAGCAGTTAGAACTGCAAAAGGCACAGGAAAAGAAGAGTAGATTACAGTGGAAGTTATCAGCTGGGACTGATTTAAATGTAGACAAGGAAACAGACTCTGAGGACACTAAGATTATGATGCAGAATGCCACATTTGATACAGACAAGTGTCTTAATTGTACAATAGAGAGTCCACAAGTGTTGGTGCATTCTACATCAGGGAAGGGTTATGGACTGGGGTCCACAGCGATGGTGTCAGGGTGTTACAAGTGGAAGGTAAAGGGAATTAAATGCCTTAAAATGAACCTTGCTGTATACTGCCAAAGGACAATTGTGGAAAAAAATTAAATGCAAACTTTAATAAAAAAAAATTTCTGTTTCAAAAATATCCCATAAGTTGTATATGTTACATATATCATCATTAACAGGTTCTAATAGTGAAAGAAAATAAAGGCAACGAGGGTACATGTGTGGGTGTGTCAAAGTGGCCAATCCATGACTACACTCACCGTACCACAACAGACATGTGGTTATACAGGGCTTATAGTGGAAATCTCTATCATGGAGGGGAACAGGCCATGGCCCTCAATGGATTCACCCAAGGGGACTTTATCACTGTCATCCTTGACATGGATGCCAAAACACTGTCCTTTGGAAAAAATGGAGAGGTATATGCACAGTTACTCATTTGACAAAGATTCACATCAACTATTCAATTTAAAAGTGCAGTTTTTATGGAATAGTACAGTGTAAAGAATAGTGAAATTCTTATAGATTTTTGATAGCAGCTGCAAAATTATTTAGTGCTCAGTTGTAAAATTTCTTTACAGGAACCAAGAATAGCATTTGAAGACATTGATGCTGGTGAACTTTATCCTTGTGTGATGTTCTATAGTGGGACACCTGGAGAAAAGGTACAGTAAAACATCATGTAGTTTTTAAAATACATCTGCTTTGTTTCTGTATATTTCTATAAAAAAAAGATATAAAATAATAAAGTGACACACAGTAACAATAAACTTAAGTCTGTGACAATGTCCATTTGAACTCTCTGTAGTATTGTTTAATATTGGACTTACTGTAGGTCAAGATGACAGACATGCAGATTTGTGAGGGAAACAAAGAGTTACTGCCAGGAGACCCGCTGTGTGCCCCAGTTACTTCGGCTATAATGGAGGCCAATGTCAGCATGATGAGAAGGCTACACCAAAGTGAGACCTGGGGATCCACAATCAACAGGAAGATTGTTGATCAACTAAGTAAAATCAAGGACTTGGAGAAATCTCATAAGCTTGATGGTAAACAAGGATTTTCATCTCGGTAGTAGTTTGATTGATTGTAATGATTTTGTCTACATTGGAGCCTCATTTATCCAGATGCTGGTTCCCAGTCAAAATTGTCCGGACAGCTGAAGTGTCTGGATATCTGAATTTCTTTGATTTTAGCTGTATGCATTTCATATATTTGGCAATCCAATGTAGTTACATCAATATGTTTTATTGTTTAAATACTTTAACATATGTTAACACTACTAAATAACGCCTGTTTAAATAAATGAAGTACATCGGATGTCAAGTACTTTATATGGCCACATTAACTATGTCTGCTATTAGCCAATTTCTAATCTCTGAACTTCACCAAGCCAACTGTCTGGTAGAGCCTGAGAGAAAAAAAAATACCCATATAAACTGCTCATCCATGACATTAACTGCACACTATGCTAATCATCCCAAGCAAGAACTCAACAGTAATTGTGTAATTTTGATAGTGATTTTTTAAATGTCATATTACAGATTCAAGGTAAAAAAAAAAACCTGATTTGTATATATAGAACTCTGGAGTCTTGTCTACATGTCAGTATGTAAAACCAATATTAATACTGTATTCTTACCATGCTTACTGTAAAAAAACATAGAAACTGTATACTTGCTGATTATAAATAAGATATTGCTATATAGAGTTATTTTCCCTAATATATAATATATAAGAGAAATGACAGTCTTGAGCATACATATTGACCTATAATTAACCTTGCAACGAGTCATTGACAATCACAGGTGATTGTCTTTTAAAAACAAACAGCCAGGCCAGTGATTTTAGAACAGTTAACACCCAGGTGAAGAAATCTTAGCAGAGTTGACAAACCAATTAAAAATTGCCATCCGGATAAATGAACCAAAATATAACGTAAAAATGCATTTTATGGTAATAAAAGACCGTGGGGATCCAAACACAAAATTCTGGATAAACAAGACAAAATAACGTTAAAAAATTCCATTCCCAAGAAAAATTGTCTGGAAATTGAAGCGTCTTGATATCTGGCATCCGAAAACCGAAAGATCCAATGTACTTGCGATTTTCATGGAAAAATTATATTTCAAGATGTGGGTGTTAAAATTTGTTGCTAATTTTTTTCTATTAATAGTAAGACATTCTACTTAAAACTTAATTGTGTATCATTATACTGTAAACTTACATCTTTCAAATTTGTAACTATCAATTTTTTCAAGTACATGTAAAAGGAAATTATCTATTTAATACATGTATTAAAATATTCATTTTACTTGGTTCTGTCATTAGCTTATTTTGAAATACATGTAGATGTTGCCCAAAGTTTTCACTCAAAAGAGAAAAAGAAAAATCAAAATGAAAACGACACTAAGCCACAGAGTGAAGCATCAAACAAGCCTGCTTCAGATGGAGAAAAATCATCTTACAAGGAAGATGAGAAAAAAGATGAAGGTCAAAGTGAAGAGCAAGACAAAGATGAAATTGTAGACTTCACTGATGAAGAAACTGTTAAAACACTGTGTTCCCAGGTTAGTAAATAGTTATAACTAAGTTTTCTTGTTATCCATGACAAAATATTTAAATAAAACAATTTTGACAATCGCATTTCAATTTTTAGCAATTCTAATTTTGTTCAGTTGGCTTATGTATATAAGGTTTGGCCTAGCTTGGTTCTTATTGGTGGTCTGGATCCTGGATTGAGGGTTGGGGGTAGCTGTAGACACAAGACTACGTCAAAAAAGGGAACACTAATGGGTGTGTCTAGAGAGGGGTCAGCCACAGTCAAAGTACATTGGGATGATGGTGATAGTACAGTCAGGTGAGTAGCTCATGATGAACATTTAATGAAAAGTGATAATCTGAATCAAAGACAGTGTGAATTTTAAGAATTAAGCTGTATAGCTTTGAGTAATATAGGGTGCTTTACAATTCTGATTTTATCGTTATGTTCATATGTTGTAGTGATGTGTTGTTGACTAAAATAGAGGCCATAGAACCAGAACCATTTCAAGCCAACAGTTTGTGTGGTCTAACAGCGGGACATCTTGAATCTGTAATGAATCTTGCCTGTTTGACAGAGGACATTCCTCCAGCATTTACAAATCTATACTCCAATAAACTAGGCACCAAACATCCAAAAGCAATGCAAACTGAGCTTGACAATGCTAGAGAAACTGATGCATTGATGAAAAAGTTAGATGAGGATATTGCTCGAGTACTGGAACAAGAGCAGTCCTCTTGCATTGGAGTGGATCACAATGCTGACAAGAAGGTTATCAAGGCTCCTCTTGTACAGTTGGAGACCTTTGATTTGGACAGTACAGAAGACACAGCAAGTAGCACTTCTTCTGTGACTTCTCCTAGATTTCCCGATCTGACAGGGTCAGATATCAATCTGCTAACCAAACCAAAGACTTGTCTGTTTGAAGCTCCTGAGGTAGGTGGTTTAAATGTGACATTGGATGATGGACATGTTTCTTCCCAGCAGTCTGGGCTGGAGACTGACAGCAGAACTGAATCAGGAAATGTAGAGGAGGAAAATCATGAGGAGGAACAAACTCTTACTGACTTTCAAGTAAGTTTTATTGCATCTGATGATACGAGCCCCAGTTAACTACATGTATGTTCATTTGGACAGATGCAGTGTTTTCCCTAGGAATCAGCTTAGTAGCAGCCAAATTGACCACTTCAATTGATAAAAGTGCTGCTTTGAAATAAAAAATCAAATTAAATTGTTGTAAGGTCTGCAGAGATTTGTCATTAACTTCAACCCAAAGCCTCTTACAATTGATCTCTAACCCTTTACTTTGTAATAAAGGGAAAACACTGACAGATGTTTCTGCGGGGTGATTTAACTTGTAGAATGTTTTGACCTTCAGGAATAGTGAGCTCATAATACGTTAATATGAAATGTTATATACTTGCTTTCCTTTCAGTTTATGCAGAGATCCTTCATACAAGTTACAGCTCTGAAAGCCCTTAATGTAATAATTCAGTGCAACAAATTCACAGAGATGTTATTGGTTCCAAAATCTGATTTGATGGCAGATTCTAGTAAGGCTTTAGTTGATGGCACTGTTGTGAGAAGAGATGAAGATTTTAAATGTGGATTGAGGTCTCTGATGAAGAAAATGGTGAAGATTTCCTTGTGTAATGCCTCCTTAGTGAAGGTATTTACTGTGGCGGATTTAGAGAGAGCCCAGGCTGTATTGTACCAGGTGCTCACAGTTAAGAGTGCTGAGGAAAATGCTGGCATTCCTGAGTTAAAAGGTATGTTTCAAACAGCGACATCAGCAGGACATCAGAAAACTTGAGATATCAGAGTTGTAGAGATATCAGAGTTGTAGAGATATCAGAGGTGTAGAGATATCAGAGTTGAGAGTGAATGTCAGCATTAATATAGCAAAAGGAGAATAGGTTTATACATATATCAGGAATTTTTTTTCTTGGTAGTTATAGTTCATCTGATTTTCAACCATTTTGTTTTTGTTTTTAATTATACATGTAAATCAAGAAATGTTTTCATGTTAAATTGTGTTATATTGTGAAAATGTGTCTTGAATTGGATGATCGGGAGTATACAATTTTTCATAACATCATAATCAGTTAATGAAATTATTATAAACTACATACAAAGAGTTGAAGATTTCATTGATTTTATTTACCCCTGTGAGTGTAATTGTTGTCGTCATACCTAATAGTAAGAATAATCTACATCTCGGAATAAAGAATTTCCCCCAGCAAGTCCATAATTATCAAATTTACTGATTCTTGGATGTATTATATAAACATATATATACACAATATATTCTGACATTTACATGAATGTTAGGATAAATCTTTTTATCTTCCTTTGTACAATTTATCTCTCTGATACATGTACATGTATATCAATGTTTTTTTTTTTTCATTTGTATAGCAAAACTTCACCCTGGTGGAATGCCTACCATCAAACCTACCCGTGAAGTGAAACAAAAAGAAACACAATTCACATTTAAAAGGCTTGAGGGAAATTTAGGAAGTTTTATCATCCCACCCCCCAACATACCAAATCTGCCACCCGACCTTACAGAGGAGGAGATTGATATGTCTCAGGAGGATTCCAGATCAAACATGCAACAAACTTCTATATTGCAGTTTTTAAGACGAGGGTGAGAATTAATTAGTACTTGTACATATAAGTCAAACCTCAATTATCTGTATTTGTATGGATGCTTAAAAGCTGAGCTACCAAAGGGTTAGGGATTTGAACACTTTGTAGGGATGCTTAAAACCTGAGCTACTAAAGGGTTAGGGATTCAAATTCTAAACATTGAATAAACTGTCACCTGGATATTTGAATTGCCATATTAGTGTTTAAGATACTGCAAGTGATTTTGTAAATATACATAAAAAAGAGTTACATGACATTATCTTACACATGCAGTTATAAAAATATACATTTAGATCAAATCATGTATGGTTATAGTTGGAGTACATGTAAATCTTAATCCAAGGATGAAAAGAGTTACCCTTTGTATCTGATCATTTCACTAGAACTGGAGGGGTTAGTAATTCATCTCCCAGGAACCAGAGAAACATTGTACCTCGTACACCAGCTGATTACGTTTCACCACCTGCCAATGAGGAGGTGGAGACAGAACCCCCACCACTACCAGCACCCCGCAGGTACTCCTCCTCAGCCACCCTTCCCTCTACATTGTGCAGAAGGATTGGCAGTGCAGCCAAGAAACCACCACACCCACCTGTTAGGGCAAGGTCACCTTCACCCCCTCCACCACCCATTGCTGCTCCTCTCTTAGAGATGGGATTCTCCATTCAGGCCATTAAGAAGGCAATCAGAGAAACAGGTTTGAAATTTCACGTCGTGTCTGTCAGTTTGTAAGTACAGTCAAACCTCATTATTAGGAACTAAATGGGACGGAGAAAAAACTTTGAGATATGCAAGGATTCAATATATCAAGGGTAAAATACCTAAAGAACAAGTGATTTGGACATCCAAATCACTCCAAAATATCCATGGTATTCAAAATATTGATGTTTGAGATACCGAAGTTCAACTATACATTGAATGACTGCAAGATTGATCATTTTGATTCAAGTTCACTCTGGAACATTTATATCGATAACCTGATAAAAGTAATCAGATACAATATCATTGTTCATAACTATTGGACAGGTACAAATGGAAGGGAGGTGTCAGCCAGTGGAATAAACACCTTGGCTATGTGGATGTTGGAGAATCCTGACAGCACTGCTGATCAGGCCCCAGTAAAATCTCGGGAAATGAATAGGAGGGGCAGTCTTGAGTCCCTGGACAGAAGAGGACTGAGGTAACACCTTCACTTTTAAAAGCCATAAGTTTTTGTTGCAGTTTTAAATTACCGAAAAAATTTTCTTTTCAATAGCAAAATTTTTTTTGGTATTAAAATGTGTTTGTAGTTCACCATTTTCACAAACTCAAGTATTTTGTTGTATTGATGACTAATTCAAGGAAAGTAAACCAGCAATATGATATTTTATTTTTTGTCTCATTTCCCCCCTTTAGTATTTTCATATCCTTGGACTTTCAAAATATTTGAAAATCACTTATCAGTGAGGGATTCATATCACACTGACACATAAAATTTGTACTTGATATTCAGGAGGAGGCGACCATTATCAAGTCAGGAGGCCACCAATAGGAATGCTGAAGACACCAGCGATGATACAGAGAATTTTGGATCACTGTTCTTGCGCAGACAGAGACCACTTACAAGAACCAGGCACATCAATCTCAGAAGTATTGGCAATTTAGGTAAAACTGAATCAAATACATGTATATCTGTATGATAAAATAGAGTGAGCGTTGATATATTTTGTAGAGATTTTAACCAAGAAATTTGATTGTAGACAATGAGGATGATGATGACACTAGATCTGAAATGCCCCTGCCCACTGGAGAGGAGGGTTTGCTATCACTTTCTGAGTTATACAATGTAACTAGCACTGGGCAGGAATATAGTGATAGTCTACTGCGCCCCCATTCCTTGGCTGATTTGTATGACAACATACTGGAACTGCAGGATGAGATTTGTAATGATGACAGTATTGAGGATTTGTTTAATGTGGAACATGCTGAGCACAGGGATACTTGGGACTTGTTTAATGCTTTGGTTTGTGTATTCAATCATATATATACTCAGATGTTTTCTCAGATCTTTCTTTCAATCAGTATGCTTCAGAAACCTAATATATATCAACAGTAGACATAACTAAACTATGCAGACTGATGATTGCAGATATTCCCTAATAACTGCTTTTTTTATAAAGTGTAATAACAGGAGGTGTAAAGCCTGACCTATTGTTGGCCGGGTAGTCCTTGCCATTGTTTCCCAAAATTGCTCATGCATATTGCTCAGCATGTGGAGATATGATGCAAACAACTGATATGAAGTGAAAACAATACGTGTCTTTCTCATTTTGCTATGTCCTTTCGGATGCAAATTGCTTGAAACCATGCATCCTGAGCAAAATTATGTAATTTACACAGGACACATATCATAATGAATCACTGATGTTGATGTAAAATTATTTACTTTGAGTATAAAGTTTCAGGTGAGATTATTTGCTGTTGTGCTGTTCCTCACAAACTATATGAGATGCAAATAAAAGCTTGTACACATTTTTCATTGGTAGAGGCGAGAGTTGGAAGACCAAACTACTGTGACCTGTGAACTGTGTCAACAGGAAACGTCCAATTTCAATAGGCACATGAGAACTGAACACCCAGGATGCATGGGTAAATATCAGGAATAAAAGACATTGTATTGAAGTAATTCTAGTTTAAAGGATGTTATACTTTGGATATAACCTTATAACATTGTATTGTGTAAAAACAATATGTTGCATAATTTGTACAATAGATATTTTTCTTGAATTACATAATATCTTAGAGTTATGTGAAAGTTTTTTAGTATGAAACCCACACCATTTATTTTTTGTCTTTTTGCTGTAAAAAACCTTTTATGCAGCATTATACATGTATATCTACATCTACATACTGAAAACAGTAAAAATTTTATGTCACTATCAAATTTACAGGTAGTTGTGCCCAGCATGGATACAGGAGTAACGGTATTTATGTAGATGGTTGGTTTGGAGGTCGTTGTGGATCAGGTCACCCATTTTACCTTATGTGTCCCGACTGTCGAGAAAAGTACTTAGAGGCCAGAGGAAACAGGGAGAATCTCCAAAACTCAGCAGATCTGGGAGATCACAGATCTAGTGTTAAGGCTCCAGACCTGTTGGATATCCTTGATCATGGATTAAATGGTATTTCATTTAAAGAATAAGACAAATACATGTAAGACAGTTATACTATGGTTATTTTGAAATCATCTTATGCAGAAAATAGAATTACATGAATTAAATTATGTTTACCATTATGATCTTCATAGACACTCTTATGTCCAATCCTCTGTTTCATTAGATTTTAATCATTAATATTTTGGTTTGTTTTGTGCTTCTTTTTCTCACAGATCCAGTGCCTCTTTTCTCTGATTCTTCTCAAAGTAAGCCAGTGACAGAGAAAGTTGAAGTTTTGATGTCAAAGATAGGACTCACTGATCATAAGCCTGTCCCTGAACCAGTCAAATTCTCAGAAAATGACCCACTTGGAACAGGTCTCCTTAAATCTGCAACTTCTTCAGGAGATGTCTTAATGACACTCTGTAAGTTTGATTTTCTTTTCAGGAGGTAAGGTGAATGTATATTCCTCAAGTGATAAATTGTTCATGGGAGTTTATTTTATGGCAGAGAGCATACATTTCTTGGTCACTGAATTGACATACATGTAATTCAAATTTTACAGCATCATTTGCCAAAGGAAGTAGGCCAGACAGTCGTAATAAATCACTAGGGGAGCAAGCTTCCTTTATAAAAACAAGTGAGGACAGAAAAGTGGCTCTTTATAGAATCACTTCCACCATGCAGATCATGATAGCAAGATCCATGGTGACAAAAGTTTTGTCTGTGCTAGCAGCCAGGTATTTGGAGAAGAGATCTTTTGTAGTTTTTTTCCTTTTGCTTACTAATTTTGTATATAGATATAAAACTTCCAGGATAATGAAAGACTTTAGCAGAATTTAAATTTTGATATAGTAAGAGTACACAGGGTGTGTAGTTAGAAAAATACCAGAAAACAGTAGTTGAGTGATGAAAATATTTACATGTACATCTCCCTATGTATGGACTTTTACTCTTGTTTTTAAGTGGTCCAAACTGCAGTCTGCCTTCAGCCCTGGATTACATAGGTCTGTCAGATATCATGACCCTTGTCCAATTTATGTGTCTGTGTGCTACAGGAAAGGTTCTATATCCTCTGAGTTGTCAGCCTAGAGACTCTGCTGAGAGCTTGTGTCACCTTACTACTGCTATAGGTACCCTGGTTCAGGATAGCCCTGCCTCTCTCCAACAGCTTATCCAACTCTGTACACAGGTAAGTGATTGAGTCAGAATGAGAAAACAAATATCATATACATGTAATTCTAAGTACTGAAATGGTAGCAAAAAAAATTTTGTTATAGGGATTGAGGGCTGTTGAAGACTGGCACTGAATAGGCATATTTTCAATATGTACATGTACAAGTATGTTCTCTGTGCTGAAGTAGAGCAAAATCAGTATATCAATGCTTTAACAACTCCAGAGACCACCAAAATTTATTTTTACATCCATGATTCAGTGTATCCCATTAACTTGCTGTATCATTATTCATAACTTGGTGAAAAATATGACTTTGAACCGAGCAGACATTCACATAGTCTACTTCTGCTTTAAACATACACTGTATATTGTCATGGCTATTATAGACATATTTTTTTCTTACCTTCAGACATATTTAAGAATCTGATCATTTATTTTAGGAACTAATGTTAGCAGCAACAGGAGGTAACAAGGGAGATGTAAGAAAGAAGACAAAGAACACCACCCCCTCACAGCCGTCCTCCATGCTGACAGTCACACAGTCCTTAGTGACCCTTCTAACTCGAAATAAGTGGGTCAGCAGTCCAAACTGGATATCTCAGTGGTTTCCATGTTCAGGTAGATAAGCCATTTACTCATGTTACACAATTCTACTTTAATTATAATTGCATGTATTATTACAGATAATTAAGTGATGAAACATTAAGGTTTTATTTGTAGACTCCCAAGAGTCAGAGTCTTTATCAACTGCAGAATCATCAGATTCCCCTACAAGGGAGGACTCACCCCTAAATCTCATTAATGCACTAGCAGCTTGTGTACTGTCCACTAAGTTATCTTCCTTATACAAGCACTGGGCTGTCAAAGAATTTATACAGGTAGTTATGATTACTGTGTAACTCGGGAAATATTCACTATATAAATAAAACCGTGAATTAAGGTATGTCACTCGTCAACTTTTTAGAAAAGTTCAGTCAGATCCTTAAACTTCATAACTGTTTGTTACAATTCAATTTTTATAACATATTTAAATTAAACAATGCAAATTATTCAACATTCAATTTGAAAAAACTGCTCACAAATTCATAAAGGTGAACGCTTTATGAGGGACTATTTCTTGTGGTGGAAGGATATTTAGAAGAAAATTCTTCAAATCTACATATTTGTCAAATTTAATATTTTGGAACATTAGCCCCAGATATTTTTACTTGGAGAATATTTTCCGTTATTTTATGCTACAGATATTAAATATAGGTCCACATTTATATTTTTAGAACAAATTTTTCACATTCACTCAACAGACTTTGCCAAGAAATAAAGACAAAGAAATCAAGATAAAATTTACATCGTTTTTGCCTGAAAATGGCACATTTTGACCAATATCTCAAAACTTACATCCCTGACCTCAACTTTTTCTTTCCTTATTTTAAACAACACGATACTTCCAACCGATCTGCACTTAAGTCATTAAAAGTTTGATACAAGAAAATATTTTGTTGCCTATTTAGATTGTTTATACCCCAAATATGATACGTTTTTAGTGCAAAAAGGTCACACAATAATTTATGCGCATTAATTTGCATGATTTGTTCAATGATAAATATTATTCAAACTGTTTTACTTAAAATAAGATAATATTTGTTGCCATAATTACATCTGATAAAATATGATAAAGATTAAAGTTATTAACGTAAGAGTTACAATTTAAGTGCAAAAATGTCAACTTAATTGTACCGTAGCTCAGTAAGATGCACACTGACCCCCCATTTTCTTTGCGATTTTGAGTCATGCTATATGAGAACTTATCTAAAATATACTTCTCAAAAAATCCTTGATATAACAAATTTCAACAGTGACATACCTCAAAGAAACTGAATAAGTTTTAAATTAATTATATTCTTTCCCTTTCTTGGGGTGGTTGGATGGGGTGGGGTGGGGGATGGTGAGGTTATGGGCCTACCAGTAGGTACATGTATATGTCATGTAGTCATTCAGTAATTACGAGTTGTACTTGTCATTTAATTATTTTAATTACCATGTTTTCCTAAAATTCAATCAGCAGATAATGCCCTGTATTTATCATTAAAGATGCCTTGACAAAGATTTGAAGTTAATATTTTCTCAGATTTTTTGTATAATATCATGACTTATATGTTGCTATAGCAATTCACACAGAAATTCAATAAAAAAAAAACTTATTTTATCTGGAAATTATTGAAAGTAAGAATTTTGGGATGTGTTTGTTTTCTTTCAGTGTTTGTCCTCTCAATCAGCTAGTCAGCCAGATCAGATTGTAAACCAAGTGGACTGGGGTGGAGACATGCCATCCTGTCCAGTGTCCAAACTAGAGGCCCACCAAAACAGACTGGCACACTGTGTGTGGAGTACCAAGAAAAATCTGTTAGCCACCAGGTTTGTTCTATGTTATCAGTCTAACTACATGTATATAGAGAGAAAATTCCACCCCAGCTTTATTTTTGCTCTTTTTTCAATCATCTTCATAAGGAGGAGCTTGATCTGATCAGAATTATATATACAGGCAAACTGATCATTTCTGGACACCAGTGGTTCCACAGAAATTGACCGAATTAAACAACATAAGGATTAAACAACATTTCAGACAATTTAATTTACTGAAAGGGACTTAAAGTCTACTTCATAATAGGCTAAATTTCAGAATATACTACAGTGGACCTTCAGATATCCGGACGCCAGATATCAGGACTCTTTAGTTTGCGGACGATTTTTCATGGGAACGAAATTTTTTTACTTTATTTTGTCTCGTTTAACCGGAATTCTGCGTTCCGTATCCGGACTGTCTTTTTTCACCACAAAATGAATTTTTACGTTACATTTTGGTTCATTTATCCAGACGATAATTTTTTTAACTGGTCTGTCAAGTCTGCTCAAATTTCTTGATCTGGGTGTTAATTGTTGTAAAAACACTGGTCTGGCTGTTTGTCTTAAAAGACCTGCGACCTGTTATCAATGGCTTGCGGCAAGGTTAATTGTAGGTCGATAGGTACGCACAAGACTCTTGCTTCTCTAACATGGTTTTGATACGTATTAAGGGAAATAATTTTATAAGTCTAGGATAATTTTTACGTAGTCGGCAAATATATTTCTTTTACTGTTAGAATACAGTCGTAACATGGTTTTATGTATTTAAAGACATGACATCAGAGTTTTTTATGCACAGTATTTTGTGCTCAAAACGCATTCTATGATTTGATGACATTAATAAAATCACTTTCAAAAATAGTTAAATTACACATTCGTTAATACGATCTCACTTTGGATGATTACGATTAGCTTTCGTATACATGTGCAGATTATATCACGTTTAGCATTGATGGGCGTTCGTAATTAAATAAGACTCTACCAACAGTACCGACATGGCTACTAGGAGAAGTTGATTCATTAGACACTGGGAAGTAGAAATAATTAAAGGGTTTTTATCACGTATCTAGATTTCTTAAAAATGAAACACTATTATATTCTTGAAACATATAACTATCATTTAATTATGAAAAAATGTTGAAAACAGCCGTAATTAGACGATAAAATGCCCGTAATATAGGGTTCTCGAAGTAAAAATCTCCAGTAATTAGATAGGGGTAATGTGGTACTGAAACGTCATAGGTGTCAATGGTCAATAGAACTCGTAAAGCTTATCGTAAGAAAAAAATACATTGAATAGATTTTTACGCTAAATAAATAGAATTCACAATATGGCCGGTTGAAATTTTGACATTGACTATATTCCTTTGGTTATGGACGGTCAATCTTTTATGTATGAACGTCTAGCAGCGAGAAATATCCAGAAAATATGCCAACTTGGAGAGAGGTCACCGAAGACGAAGCCTTTGACAACTCAGGACTTCAACTAAAAAGAATGAATTACTAAACTGCTAAAGTTTAAATTCGTAAACATTTATAAATATGGGAATTTTAAATTCTCCTTCATTATTATTTTAATTTATTATATATAAATAAATCCTGTATATCTTCTATCTTTTCTAGCAGTGAATATCATGTAATAGAAATGGCACTTCTTCAATGGCGCCGCATGCCATTACGAAGTTCACAACATTCCAAGATTCTTTGTGACTTTTAAAAAATGTGTGTTTGTCATTTGTTATTTTTTTTAAGGTATCTTTCCTTAAAATATTTTATAGGACAGAAAAAAAATCATGATTGATCGGGCATAAACGTTTGTTCTGAATGGAGATAAACGTCATCGCATTTGCAGAAAAATCGTTAATACGAGCAAGTCCAGGAAATGTTGAAAAAAAATTCTTTCTAAAACCTTTCTTATGCACATTTGTGCATCCTAAAGCCATAAATTATACCTTAATGGCTGTCAATTATCCAATTATCACTTAATTATTTTCTAACAGGTTTAATAGACACAACAAATGAGCCCTTTTGTATACAAAATAAGTACTTCGCTTGACCAGGATTGACACCTATGACGTCAAAGCAATGGCACGTAACATCAGCGATCAAAATATGCATATTGAGAAATTCAAACTTTGAATTGCTGAAACATCAAAAAATATTAATTTTCTAGCAAAGATTTTGAAATATATGACTTTGATAGCATGTAAACTTTGTCATATCAAAAAATTTTGAGACGTGATAAAAACCCTTTAATGTGACCATATAAACACGTTTTTTTTCCAACGACGCATGTATTTTTTATTTATTTAAACAAGTATTGAGTAGTACTAACTTATATTAAAGTATTTAAACAATAAAACATATTCATAAAGAAACATTCTTTACTATTGAAAATGGTATGAAAGGCCATATAACTAAAATCAGTGCAATTCAGGTATCCGGATGCTTCACATATCCGGACAATTTGACTGGGAACCAAAGCGTCCAGATAAATGGGGCTCCACTGTTCATCTGAGTTTCACAAGTTTTACTGTAATTGCAAATGATTTTTTGATAATAAAATAGCTTTAGGAAATTCAGAATGGGGCATATAACTCTTACATTACTTCTGTACATCATGTGCAATGTTTGAATATAGTATGTTATATTGAATCAGTGGATATGATGGTACACTGCGAGTGTGGAGTCTGCCCAACAGAACACACCAGTTTTTACAACAGACCTGTATATTTAACCGTGGGGATGATGACTGTGAGGAATTAGATGGTAATCTTCTGACCTGTATCTGTTGGAGCAGCACAGGAAAATACCTGGCGGGGGCCATAGACAATATTATTAATGTCTGGACTACAAGTGGTATGATATCACAATCATTTTTTGGTCTTTTCACATAAGCACAAAATTGCTGGAGTCACCAGTGGTACATGTGTATCTCTGTAATTTTTAATTGGAAAGAAGTTTACTTATGTATTAATATAAGTACAGAAACATTATTCTGCTTGTTGTATGTTGTAGGGTGCATGTACATGTATATATATCAAGAGACTTCGTAACTACAGTTACTGTACATGTACCTGTATGTCATAAAAGATCTGAGACTTACTTGAAACTTAAAAAAATATGTTGGATTAGATTTTGTAATTAAGGAAAATAAATTTAATCATTTTTAGATGCCTAGATTATAAATACATGTATTGCAGGGGTGTTAGAATGGTATTGTACTTGCTGCTGCTAACTCTTCTTTTTTTTGATTATCATTAACTTGTTGCATCAGGTGGAAAAGGTCACATGGATATCCAGCCTCATTTTGTATCCGTCATGACTTGGCCAGAACATAAAGGAATGATGGGAGGTTGCCTGGGTCTGACTACTGACACCCTTCTGATTGGTCGACTTGATGGCTCACTGGCCTATATTGATGTGTTTGATAGCTCTAGCTTTAAGAGGCATGAGCTAGATCATTGCTACAGAGAAAATGGTAGGATCAGTATGGATCTTTGTATAATGTGAATATGTAAAAAGTATCTTTTCATCTGATGTGCTATTTGAATAAATTTATGCATAAAGATTTCAATCAAAGTTGAATTTGATAAATGAGTAATTCTTTCCAGATACTTAGGTTATGAAATTAACAAGTCCATCTGTTATTTCTGAACAAAAACCAATTTAAAGAAAGGGTTCTTCCAGTTAACAGAATGATTAAATTTTGTGATGTTTAGTTTCAGTTACACAAATTGCATGGTTTGATGAAGACAGGCCATTTGCTGTAGCATTTAGTGATGGGGTGATTTCCCTATGCACAAAGTTGGAAATTGAGGAACCACACTTGACAAAAGCTTTCGATGTAATTACTTTTTGTGTCAGACCCTTTACTTTTATGATGATCCAATTCTTCTAAAGTTATTTTCTTAAAACAATATTGGAAGGATTCCATATTGTGTTAAATGTATGTTGCTTATGGTGTATTAAAAAAATAGTTTCTATTAAATGATATTTAAGTGCAGAGATTATGCATTTTATTTCTTGTCAATAGAGTTGCTTTATTTTAATGTTTCCTTTATTTTCCTTTGTAGAGTTCTATTATTTGTATGAAGTGGGACCCCACTGGTCACATGCTGGCTTGTTGTGCAGATGGAGAACCTAACATTAAAATCTACAAAGGCAGACAGGAATTGAACCTTGCGTTCAAGCTACAACACAGGGCTGAAGTTTCAACGCTTCAGTGGTGCCACACCCTTGGGAAGGGAGATAAAAAGGAATTGATGATGGCAAGGTGTGATAAGTTTATGGTCAAGTTTTACTGCTAAAAATAAAATTCATTAATAGTGTCCACTTTTAATTTGACAGATAATTATTATATTGTTACAGTGGCTGTGGTGACGGTGTTGTCTATGTTTGGATGTTGAACCAGTACACAGGAAGTGAATCAAATTTATCACCATTTAACTTTGATTCTGTGAATCAAGTGAGTTCTCTTATTGTTTTCATCTCAGTAAGGTCACCTTAATAATGTTTTCTTGCCCTCTTTTGACTCAGGGTGAAAAAATTGGCCAGGTAGGTAGGAAAAAATTATTTTTATAAAATTAAAATAGTTGTTGACGGGATGAGAAATTCCAGAATGAATTTTTCAAAAACAGTTCAAAAAAATTGAGTTGGGCCAAGAGAGGGCAAACATTTTTTTAAAAAATGGCCTAAACAGTTGTATCTTAGCATAAAAGTGATAAATTATTCAAAGGAAGAATATCTACAACTGATTTTTTTTTTGCATAGGATGAGGAATTTTGTAATTCAGAGACGTCCATTCAGTCACTTTTAACAATACGGGGTCATGTTAGCACCGTGACATCACTTGCATTCTGTCCATCAGCACTAATGTTGGCTTCAGGGTGTGATAGAGGATGGCTTAATGTCTGGTCCATTTGTGTAAGTTTATTTAAGTGAGATTTTAGAAAAATTTAATGTGGAAAATATGAGTCTTCAATTTGACAATATTGTTAAGTTGAATAAGAGAAAGTTTTTAAGTAGTGCATATAATGATAAGTTTCTAAAAGGTTTTTGAATTTAACATAAGCCAATTAGATCAGTAAGTGATAAATTCCTGTAAGTTATTCATATAAATGTATTTGCATTTTAAATTTTAAGGATGGAAGTGTACTACAAACTCATATGGAAAATGGTATGGTCAGTGATTTGTGTTGGTTTGCAGATCATGGACTGGCAGCTTGCTTCAGCAAAACTAAGGTTAGCATTCAGATACATGTATTTCAACATTTGAATGTTTTCTAAAATTATTAAGTAATAGTCTGTGTCAAGGAGGCCAGCTCTTAATTCACTTGCATACAATTAGATCATAATGAATTTGAAACATTTTTCTTTTAGGATGTAGTTATTTTGCATTACACTACAGACCTATTGGAAAAGAATAGAGCATTGTCTGTCTGTAGAAAATCCTTTAAGCAGCAGGGAATCTGGGGATTAAACCAGGCTCCCTTTCTACTCAGTCTGATACAGAAGTTACCCATTCTTCTCCAGGACCAATACCTGTATGAAAAGGTAAGTGGGGATCATAGTGCCAAATTATACCCCCCCTTTTTTTTTTTGAAAAAGGTGTGTGGGGGGGGGGGGGGAGTTAAAGTTATACTATGAACAAGTAGTAAGATACTAGTTTTAGACATAAGCAATATCTTTTTTATTAAATGATTTAAGCTTGAAATATGAGTGGCTGTTGTTTTTTAGAGTCACTGAAATGCAGGATCCTGGCTAAGATCCTAACTTCAAAATACATACATGTATCTTTAAATTAATGCTGTAAACAGTACCAGAGATTGGAAGCTGCAAATTTGAACTATCAAATAAGTAACATACCGGGTATGTAGTTAGGCAAATATGTTTGACAAAGATTTTTTAGCCCACCTTAGCTACGTATAAATGCTCAGGTGAACTTCTCTGATAAAAGAGTGAAGTCCATTTGCCTATCATATGTTGTCTGTAAACCTTTCACATTTTTCAACTTCTACAGAACCACTGGACCAATTTTTGGTACAAATGCTTAAGTTACCATGGTTGAAAAGATTCAAGTTTGTTCAAATGGAGAGCCATGCACTCTCTTGATGAGAGACAGTTAAGAAATAGTGAAATTATGGTGGGATCATTGAAAATTTTTTCAAAAACCACTTGGCCCGAAGAGAAAAACCTTCTGTACTTCTTGATCTATTAAAGTTTATACAAATCATTTACCTTGGGAGCTAGGATTGGGTCTCAATAGGAATCAAGGTTATAAAGAAATCTTTTTGAACAAGAAATGTTTTAGATCCCCCCCCCCCCCCCCCCCCCAATATGTTAATATAAAAAAAAGTGAAGTTTTAAAATTGATGTGTGTAATTACAGTGAAAAAGTGGGTAACCTAATAGTCAGGAGCAAACATAATTCAAGGTTTAATCTCTATCAGACCTCAATATCATGAGAGGTAATTCAATTCCTTAGACAATATCAGTGAACCAAGTTTGATTTTTTTTTTCAAGCAAAGGGTTCTCAAGATACTGAGTGGTCAGTACCTTCCTATGTCCAGTTTGACCTTTGATTTTGTGAGCTACAAAATCAATAAGGTCATCTACTCCTAAGGGGGAACCAGTTTGCCAAGTTTGATGTCTGTTAAGCAAAGAGTTCCAAAGATATTGAGTGGTCATTGTCTTTTTTTGCTCAATTTGACCTTTGACCTTAAGACTCGGAATCAGTAGGGGTCATCTACTCCTTATGAGCAACCAATGTACCAAGTTTTATGTCAGTCAAGCGAAAGGTTCTCAAGATATTGAGCAGTCAGTATCTTTGTATGTTAAGTTTGACCATTGTCCTTTTACTTTGTGACCTCAAAATCAGTAGGAGTTATCTGTTCCTTTAAAGGAACCAGTGTACTAAGTTTGATGTCGGTTGAGCCAAGGATTCTTAGTGTATTGAGCAGACAATGTCTTCCTAAGACTTGAGCAGTTTAACCCTTGACTTTTGACCTTGTTACCTCAAAATCAATAGTGGTCATCTACTCCTTGGAGGGAACCAGTGTACATACTTTAATGTCAGTCAAAGATATTGAGCAGACAGCAGTAAGTCTACATGTACAAACTGACAGATCAACCGATGTGCAAAATAATATGCCTCCTTTTTTCAAAGGTTGCATAAAAATCTTCTCAAGAAAACTGGACCACAGTTAGCCTTATAGATTAGCAAGTATTCCAAGTAATTTAGATTTCAAAGTTTGTTCAAAACATGACTTTAGGTACTAGGTTGGGACCACAAATGGAGATAAAAACTTTATACAGAATTAACAGAAATATATTTACATTTGCAGAAACAAAAATGCCACAATCATCAGGACTCAATATACCGTTACTTAAAATTTCAAAATAATGGACTTTCATCTTGTAACTGTTTATTCATTTGTCAGGAAGAGAATTGTGACTCACGTGAGTGTTGTGGTCCATGGGCCTCTTGTTTGTATGTGGCAGAATTTTGACCCAGGTGACCATTTTAGCCCACAATTGTTTTTTTTTTATTAGCCTAAGGTGGTGTCTGGCCAGCAGCTGGTACACAGCTCTTACATGCAACACTTGGCAATTTTAGCAGTAGGACTAGAGCTGGACAAACCTCTGTGTCACCAACCATGTGCCCCACATCATATCAGTTCTGACAATGGTAAGTTTATCACTTGAGTTGATTGTATGATTGTATGATACTAACTTGCAATGCTTGAGTATCACTTATTATGTAAGAAATTTAAAGTAAAAAGTATCAAAGAAACTGCCACAGTATTGTTATCTTCTAAGTTGACAGAAAGCTGATTTGTAATTTCTACTTTCTTCAGTCCAGGACCTAGTGACTCCAGAGTGGCAGTGGTTGTTGTCCTTCTCAGCAGCTGTCAAGTCAGCGGAGGCTCTATCCAATAGAACACCATTCCCAGAATCTTTCAGAATGCTCAATAAAGATACTCGTTCCTGTCATACACAGTCTTGGGTATAAAGTTGAAACAACTTTTAAAATCCTCATAAAACACATACACATGTACATGTATTGTACATGTATATAGTTCTTAAAATTAGACTTCAAAAGAGATTAAATTTCTTGAATCTTGTTTGAATATGTCCAGTCTTCATAAGAAATGATTTATATTAGGACAACACAAAATGGGATCTGAATATGGATGTACAGATAATGACTTGGGCTATGCAGAAACCAGAGGACTGGCTGATTGGGGGGAAATGTGAGGCCTTCCTTTGGGGGAGTGGTAGAAATGGACAGATGTCTGAGGGAGGGAGAGGGGCATTTGTTCCTGTTAAGGTCCAGTCTTTCTCCTGTGCACAACAGGTATGTCTTTTCCTGTTACCCTCTGGATTTTATACATGTGAATATTAGAAAAGAATGCTGTACATTGTATTTTAATTATGTACATGTACACTTCTTTCCTTCTGAATTTAAGATGACATTCTTTACACATAAATTACAGAATAATTTATCTTACTGCATACACACCATCTTCTCATATAATGAAACATCAAGATATATTAATACATCTCTGATTTTACATTGAGTTACTTATGATTTGTTTAAGATTATATGTGGACAAAACTGTACCTTCGTGGTTCAGAACAATGGGACAGTAATGGCATGTGGAGAAGGCAGTTATGGTCGATTGGGTCAGGGTAATTCTGATGATCTCCACTCGCTGACAGTCATATCTTCCATTCAAGGTAGACAACTTTCTTATTACATTTTATAAGACTGTACTTGAGTTCATTTTTATGCTCAATTCAGCATTCTTTTAGACAACTGCAAAACTTTTTATTATTTGGAAGACCTGTAGGACTGGTCCAACTCACAGTTGGAAAGATTATTATAGTGATTGAATTTTTATACCCCTGCTCCAAAGGAGAGGGGTGTATATTGTTTTACCCTTGTGTGTGTGTGTCTATTGATACATAACAAATTTTCGTCGCAGTTTTCTCAACAACTGCTTAAAGCAGATGCATGAAATTTTAGCACACAGTTTTGGCATGTCATATGGTGGGATTCATTAGGGCCCCACAAGGATTTGCAGGTGCCCTATAGTAATCACTCTGTCTGTCTGTCTGTCCATCTGTCTGTCCGTCTGTCATTCTTCCGTCCACAAATTTTCTGTTTTTTTCTAATAACTTTTTAGGGTTGACCAATTAAGTTCAAATTTGGTATGTTGGTTCAATAGGCAGTAAGACATATTTTGATGCTAAGTTTGGTTCTCTATGTCATCCGGTTTGGAGCTGGGGTGTTGGGGTATATTCCTTAACTTTATATAAGAGTGAATGGGCAAAGAGAGATAACTGCTGAGAATGTTCCTATTGTAAACTATGAAAGGCTGCAATGAGTCTCTTGGGATTAATTAACTTTCCTCTTGAAGAAAATCCAAAGCATTTATCTTTATCTGCCACATTGAGATTAATTAACACCTCTGTCTGCAAATGAAGTTTGTTTTGAAGTTAAGGTCAATTCTGAATAATGTTTACATTCTCTGAAATGTGGATTTAAATAATGTTCATACATTATTTTGGTAAAATACACAATGAGTTATGATTTTATTGAATTCTAAAAACAAGATATAGATAAAGATAATGTTTTTATTATTATTTTCTTTTTTCTTTTTTTTTTTTCTTTTTTTCTGCCTTATGTAAATTCAAGAATACTAATTATTTTAACAGGTATTCAGATAATAACCTCATTCTATCATTGCTGAAAAAGTTCTTATTGTAAACTTAGAAGGAAAGGTTGAGAGAGCAGTATAATTAATCCCGTGGGTTTGATTATCTTGCTGGTTTGCAGAATATTTTAGAGGGTTATCTTTCTGTCACTTTAAGATTAATTAACACCTTTGTCTGCAACTGATATTTGTTTTGAAGTTAAGGTCAAGCCTGGGTGATATTTGCATTCACTGAAGGCTGGCATTTTAGAAAACACATGCTTCATTCATTTTTAAATGTACATTTAATTGAGTTATTATAGATATGATGTTTTTTACTGCCTTATGTAAATACAAGGATACTATTTACAGATTGTTGGATATTTAGCAGTTGCTGTTGCTTATTCTTTATATATTTTGAAATTTTTTGGAATCAAGTAAAATTCTCATCCCCTAATCTGCACCCTTATATTTCTAACCCTTAGCGGGGCCCTTGCTGACTGGTCAGATTTCTAGTTTTTGTACGAATACAATGTCAACTTCCTGTTTATCCATGCGTCTGTCCATACCAAATTTCCATCGCAGTTATCTCAGCAACTACTCATCGCAGATGTTAGAAATTTTTAGCAGTCTCTTTATTTTGACATGCTATATGCTGGGATTCATTTTTGTAATCTGATATCAAATTCCTGTTTATCCCTGCATTTGTCCATACCAATGTATTCACATGATAGCCTTTATTCATATCAGAGCGGGGTATAACAAATAAGCATTAGCTCAGACTTCTTGTTTCTTATGAAAAAATTATGTAAAAGGTTGTGCTTTTTTTTATTCTTAAATTTCCTCGAAGCATGCATGAGAAGGTTTCCTCTATAAATCACATCTTACAGGTTTTGTGGTGACACAGTTAGCCACATCTGTGGGGTCAGATGGTCATGCTTTGGCTGTGACAGAGAGTGGGGAGGTGTTTTCCTGGGGGGATGGTGACTATGGTAAACTGGGACATGGCAACAGTGATAGACAAAGGAGACCCAGACAGATTGAGGCCCTGCAGGGGGAGGAAGTTGTTCAGGTACTACACATAAAATGTACTGTATTGATTTCATGATATTTTTTTTTCAAATCATTCATTGTAAGAACATTATGATGCTCACTTCAGATTGTTTACTTGTACATGTTGTTTGGTTTTGCAGTTATCATGTGGATTTAAGCATAGTGCTGTAGTGACAGCTGATGGAAAGCTATTTACCTTTGGGAATGGAGACTATGGAAGATTGGGCCTGGGTACAACCACCAACAAAAAAGTTCCCACCAGAGTTGTGGCCCTTGAATCTCACCAGATTGGATATGTAGGTGTACTGTGTTCATGTAAAAGAAAAAAAATATGTATTCAGTCATTTATTATATGAAACTGCATGTTTACTCATGAACATAAGCAAAAATATGTCTGATTTATTTAAAATTTCTGGAGGATAACATCTTAAATTGTATATGGACTGTTTCTGAAATTTAAATGTAGGTTGCCTGTGGTTTGAACCACACTTTGTGTGTATCATCAGATGGAACAAATGTGTGGGCATTTGGAGATGGTGACTTTGGGAAGCTGGGACAAGGAAACACTGTGGGAAAACATTTACCGACTAAAATTAAATCTCTCCAGGGACATGTAGTTAAAAAGGTGACCTGTGGAACACAATTCTCTGTAGCTCTCACTAAGTATGGAAAAGTCTTCACATGGGGACAAGGTATGAGAGCTCAATATATATTTAAAATGCTGTGAATAAATCAGCAAATTTGGTTAATGAAAATATATCCTTTTTTGCTTATTGCAGAGAGACTTATAGGGCAACCTGACACAAGAGGGGGAAGCAATTGTCAGCCACAGGAGGTTGCCTCCCTTTCAGGATACTTTATAGAGGATGTAGTATGTGGGGCAGAACACACTCTTGTCTTGACCAGTGAGGGTGATGTGTGGGGTTGGGGAAACAACAGTGAGGGACAACTTGGCTTAGGACACACAAACTCTCCTGTGAGGGAACCTCAGCTAGTGCCATGTCTGACTGGAAAAAATATCAGACAGGTTTATATCACATACACTGTATTATATTTACAATATTATCAGTTAGTTTACTTCTCAGTTTTACATGCCATTATTTAGTGTATATTGCTGGATGTACATTTATGTTCTGAGAGGAAAAAATATAAAGTAGACTAGCATATCATGCTGGTCAAATTTTTTAGGTTTACACATAGTTATCCTTTATCATAAAGAACACTTTTACATTTTGTCCATTTCTAGATATCAGCAGGTAGGACACATAGTGCTGCCTGGACCACACCCTGTCCTCCACAGAGAATTCCTGGGGTTCCTATCCCCCTGCAGTTGGGGACCCCCAGTAAAGTCCCTGCCAGCTGTAGTACCCTGAGGGAGTGTCAGATGGAAAATATACAAAGTCGTCTGAAGCTGCTTCATCACTTCTCTGATCTCATCTACTCCTCATGGAGACTTCTTCCACTTACAACAATACATAAGGTTAAATACAGTAAAAGCGGGTAGTAGTGCCGGGGACTGCTGATTGCTACATTCCTTGGTTAATTTGTAATACACATGTATTCAGTTAATACATGTAAATGTTACATGTATTTTGTAGTACTGGGTCCTTGTAGAAAAAATATGTTATTTGCACCTGAATATACACTATCTACATGTATGTTTACTACAAACTTATTTTTCTGTACGTTAATTTGTCATAGTTTGACTTCTGTCTATTACATCAAATGTCATTAAATTAAGTTGAGTTTAATGTTAAATGACAGTAAACATGTAGTTAAAATTTTAATCTACAGGAAGATGTATCATACATTTCTAACAATCAAACAAATAACTCTGATAGACATATAAATTATTTGTTTTTCTTTGTCATTGTGTAGAAGAACTAACGGATGATTTTTTTTTCCCGGCAGAGCGAGTTGCCTCACTATGCAGCAGGCATGTCTGGTATAGTGGATGGAAGATTAAGACCCCTGCTATCCCCCAGAGTGTTCTCTCTACCCATGGTCAGGGCTATTGGGAAAACTATGGTACAAGGAAAGAACTATGGGCCCCCTATCACAGTAAAAAGGCTTTCAACAAGGTACACAAACAAAGAATCTTAACTTATATCATGTGTAAGTAATGTAGAATATACATGAAGAGTCAAAGATTACATATGCCCATTTATGCTAAAATGTGCTCATGTTCACCTGAGGAATAAAATATTCAGATAGAATTACAGAGTAAAGAATGCTATATGCAGGTGCTTATGATTGCAAAAAATCAACCGATTTAGACCAGGGCACATATAATTGTCTTCATGAAAGCTTTTATTAAGCCATCAGAGTCGCTCAATGGACCTATTGCCATTTGTTTTTGTGAGTCATTCATCTTGCATAAACTTGTCTCATTTTTGACTTCATCAGAATCTTTGAACAATTCACAAAAACAAAAATTCTGCAAAACTGCATCCTTGGGTTGTTAAAAATTGACACAAAATTGATGTGAGAGCTTCCTTACATACTAATGGAGATTAAAGTTTGCTCACACCTGTTTAGGATTCCTGAGGCACAAAAAATCTATAGGAATGGGTTTACAAATTTTAGCCTTGTATTTTCCTCAAGTGTAAAAGCTGGGAAAGTGATATTTAGGTGACTAATAAAGTCCATAGGTTTTTATACCCCCCGCAAACGAAGTTTAGGGGGGGGGGTATATTGGAAGAATCAGCATGTCCGTCTGTCTGTAGACGAGACTTTGTCCGGACCATTTCTTGGAAACTGTTGCAAGGATTTGTCTGAAAATTTGTACACTTATTATTCGCCATATGAAGGTGTGCACCTGGTATTTTCATCATGATTGAATAATTTTTTGGCATTTTACAGGTGTTTTTTTTTCATTTTTATTATGTGGTTTTGTCCGGATCTGTTCCCAGAGACTACATGTTGCATAGATTTGTATGAAAATTTGTACACTTATTATTTACCATATGAAGATATGCACCTGGAATTTTCAACATTATTTGGTAATTTTTCTGCATTTAATAGGTGTTTTTTTTTTCAGTTTTATTGACTTAGTCATTTCGGGTTCATGTCTAAGGTTTGAGATATAGAATCTAGAACATCTGTACAAAAATGTGAACTACAGCTTAAAACTTCTCATTAGAACTAAAGAAAAAAATCACAAAATATTAAAAACAGTTTTACATTACACAGCAGATAGTGTAAATCCATCTGTCCCTTGGGAGTAATGAGTGGACATGCATCCAGTTAAAGATTAATTAATGAGTTCAGTGTGGGAAGCTGTTAGGGCATCTCTGATCAAGCAGGTCTTATCTATATCTCCTGGGAATTGGGCAGAAAGAAATAAAGATCTCTGTTGTCTAAGTCTCTTAATTGTAATTTGTGTCTGTCAAAATACATAGTTACTGGAACCAGCCTTTTATTTTCAAAATGAGTTTGATATAAAGGTATTAAGATCAATTTGATAAGATCAATTTGATTTTGTATAATTAATTATGATATTTTTTTTTTTCAACAATCAATTTGCAGAGTGTCATGACTCACAAAGATGACAGATAGTTGCAAACTATTTTTTCAATGTAATAAAAAACACTGTAATTACAGGTAAACTTCGTTATCTCGACATCGACGGGACCATCGGAAAATGTCGAGATATCCGAGGTGTCGAGATATCAGAGTTGAGACTTGACGTCCAAGATTTCACTGCATAACCAAACACATACATGTGTATAAGCTAATTATACGTACATGACTTCAGTATAGACTGTAGGTCAACTTATTTCAGCAGTCCCTTCATTTTTTTTTATTAAAAATCTAAGAAGTTAATTTAAAAAATCTTATTTATAAAACCTGTTCTTTCTCTATCAAAATCGTTCTAAATTTTTGTAGTTTTCCATCTAGCATTCGCGTGTTACTTGCTTTTTTGTCAGAACAGGATACGAAATGCGCTCTATAAACTTCGAACCGAACCGTATAAACATGATAAAGTCGACATCCGAGATAAGAAAACATATTAAATGCGTAATTATTTTTTTTTCTTATTTCATTCAGGAAGAATGTGCATTAATATTAATTTTTTAAGAGATTTGTGTATCTAAACTAACGAAGTGATATTATAGATGCATGAATTACGGATGATTCGGTTAATAGTGTCGTTAATCGGATTATTTCCTGTTGAATGCATTTTAACTACAAAATCTTTTAATTCTTTAGTTTGAATTTATTCAATATGTTTATTATTCTTTGTAATTTAGTTATCTTTTTCAATTTTAAAAGTTATGTTAGGTTTCGACATAAATAAACGCCTGTAAATTTAAGCAGAATCGTACAGATTTATCAGTGATATTACCCAAGCTGAACATTAAGCAATTAACGTCTCAAAGACGCCGAGGGGGCTTTGGATTCACCTACAAACACAGTCTGTAAAATTAATTAAGTAGCGTGTAGTCAAAACATGGGTGTGAAAGGTGTGAATTTTTGACGACGTCGAGATACCCGGAGCCGTCCGTGCGTGACGAGCGACCCTATCTGACAAACAGTTAGGTTCAGTGGAGCAGAAAATTGCCGATGTCGACATATACCAGGTAAATTTTGCTCTTGGGACTGTGAATATACGTCGAGATAACCAGGGTTGTCGAGATTACAGAGGTCGACATATCAGAGTTTTTGCAAATCATTTATATAGTAAATACTGCCGGGACCGCGGACGGACGTCGACATATCCCAGGTTGTCGACATATCCGATGTCGAGATACCGAAGTTTACCTGTATTAGTATTGATGTTTTATTAGGCTGCACCTTAGTTTCATTAAAAAAAAATATATAATGAGTAATTAAATTTTTACTCTAAATGTTTAAGCAAATTGCGAACACTTCTCACATCTAGAAAACATTAGTGATTTGGTACCTTCTCTAAAAAAGCCAGCGGGGGGTATTTGTCCATTTTGGACAGTTCTAGTTTGCTGAAGATTAGGGTATGAAATGTGCATTATCACTTACACCACTACAACCATTATTCCAGGGGTAAGAAGTGTAAACCAGTGTTTACACAGATAGGACAGCAGGTGATTAAACTGAGGGCAGAGGACCTAAGGTTACCAGCCAGGGCCTGGAAAGTCAAACTCATTGGGGAGGGAGCAGATGATGCAGGAGGAGTATTTGATGATACAATCACTGAAATGTGTCAGGTAACTGCATTGTAGAAAGTAGATGAAATTTACAGCCTTTATAGAATTTCTGTGTTATGCCTCTGTGACATAGTGATCTGTGACCCTCCAAAAATGCTTTTAGTGCAAAAATGTACTTGATCATTTGTCTTCTAGTGGTCAAAATTATACATATTTCTTGTAGAATGTTTTATGAGAAGGTAAAATACAGTGTATGTTCATTTTTTGTCTTTAGGAATTGGAAACAGGAATTGTGCCATACTTCATTCCAACACCAAATGCCAGAAATGAGTCTGGGAATAACAGAGATAGGTAAGAATGTTAAATGGTTGAAATAGGCCAGAATTCAATATTTTGTTTTGAAAAAAATGTTGGTTAAAGTTTTGCTAGAGTTGCTGTGATATGCATTTTATTATCCAGAAATTGCTTTGAAAGTTATGATTACAGATTTTTATTGAACCCAGCCCGATGTGGAGAAGATGATCTTGCAATGTTCAAGTTCCTGGGGATCCTGTTTGGGGTGGCCATCAGAACTAAGAAACCCCTGGACTTACATCTGGCCCCCAGTGTGTGGAAACTCCTGGTAGGAATACCACTAAGACTGGAGGATCTTGAGGAGGTATGCAGTAGTTTTTAAAGGGGTTACAATCTATTGAGTGAGAAAGACAGAGTTTTATTTTGTTGTAGTAAATCAAGTTTTCGTATTATAAAGACTGCAGCTGCCAATGAATGCTATTAACCCTCTCATTTCAGTGAAATATTTCTCTTAAATGTTTTCAACTTCTGTTGTTGCAGACTGATCATATTTATATTCAAAGTTTGAGGGGTATTCTGGATATTCATGAAAGTGGAGTGAATGAAACCAACTTCCATGAGGTAGTGTATCAATTGCAGTTACTATAACTAAGGGCTATTTCATTTAAATCTGCTTTGAGGGGAGGAAGGGGGTATTTTTGTTGGTCATGTGGTGTGAGTTAAATTTGTTTCCTCAGATGATGGGTCCTACAGAAAAAAGGATTCCAAAAGGGATGAAATTTAGTACATGTACTCAGAACTACTTTTTTCTCACTTTGTGATGGGTTTACTGTTGATATGTATATTTTTGTTCATAACTGTTGGGAAAAAATGAGTCCTGCTGTTAAATCACTCATGGTAGCCATTTGAGGGACTACTGACTGTCAAAATTTGATAGTTTACCTTTGCTTAAGAAGAAGATGCTACTGAGTTATTGCCCCTTACAGCAGGAATCCTGTACCCTTCAAGTAGTTAGGGGATGGAAAATGATTTAATGTAGACAAAATATTGTATTATAGCTGATGATGAAAAGACAGAGCAGGACTGCAGGTTCACTGGAATAAAGTTCAGATAATGAACATTTTTACTGAAAATTAACTGATTAAATCTAGAGTAATGGGCTTGGAAACAACAAAGTATTACATGAATATCAGAACATTTGAATAATTGTAGTTCTCAAGTTGTTGGAAGTTGATACATGCAGGTACCCTTGACCTGAAGTTGCTATTAAGCTAATGAAGTCATAAGAATTTTTTTTGTTAACAATTTATGATCATTAAACAACTACCCTTCCTTTCCCTCCCCCAAGAGGTTAGTATATAACTCTTACATGTCTATACAATAATGTAAGAAATGTTTCCATCTGATCATTTTGATGTAATTTCCAGTTCATCCCTTTGGACTGTTTTGAGGGTCAGAGTGCTGATGGCAGATTAGTCCCTGTTATTCCAGGGGGAGGGACATTACAGCTTAACTTCAACAATAGGAGGGAGTATGTGGAGGCAGTGCTGAATTACAGGCTCCAGGAAATGAACCGGCAGGTTAGATGTCACTGATTTACCTTCTGTTGTTAGATTTATTTTGTTGTTGTCTATGATATGCCTATATTACCGTAACTTATTATAATGGGAAAGGGGGTAGGGTGGGGGATGGGGTGGGGGTTAATATGATTACATGTATGTTTGATGATAATTTTCAAATTCAATTTAGGCTGCTTCAGTAAGGGAGGGTTTGTCATGGATAATTCCTGTTCCCCTGTTGACCTTACTGACCCCACAGAACCTTGAACAACTGGTCTGTGGGATGGAGGAAATGTCTGTAGATGTTCTCAGGAAAGTAGTCAGGTAGGAGTGTTAATCACTGTTAGTGTATTACATTTGGCTGTGTATTCAATTTAGCACCTTAGACGGAAAGCAGCTTCTAGTAAATCAAGTACCATACATAGCTAAATTTCTGGCATAAATATTTGGTCCAGTTTCAGTGGAGTTTAATTGACACACAGGTACATTACGTCAGGATACATACACATATCTCTATTGATTTTTGATGAGCAGTGTTGCCATGATTACTAAAATAGAACTAATTTTAAATGATTTTAAACACCTACTCCTTCATTATGGTGATTTAATTTTAGGACATGTATACTACACATACATAAAATGTATATTGGTTTTTAGGTCACCTGAGTCACTTGGGTGATCTATTACATGTACCATCTTTTTGTATTTTAATTTTATACAACCTCACTTTTGATGTGTTGCAGGTATCGTGGAATTGATGAGAAAAATGAAGTAGTGTGCTGGTTTTGGGAGGTCCTTGAAGCATTCAGTAACGAAGAAAGAATACAATTTCTTAGATTTGTCTCAGGAAGGACACGCCTACCAGCTAACCCTTCTGATATTTCACAGAGGTTTCAGATCATGAACTCTGACAGAGTGAGTGCAATTTGAAAGCATATTTTGTGGTTAAAGAAGGGAGCATGTTTTTGATTTCAAAATTTTTAAAAAAATTTTGTGCATATCATATGTAAAGTTCCTTGCAAAGATGAACAAATTGAATTGTATTCTGGAACAGTATTTCTCTCAATGTCAGGATACAAATTATTTATTCATTGCTTTTAGGGAGCAAATTGTTTACCAACATCTCAGACATGTTTTTTTCAACTTCGCCTACCAAATTATCCAAGTAAAGAAATGCTGGCAGAGAAGCTACGGTATGCCATTTTCAACTGTCGATCTATAGACATGGATAACTATATGCTGGCCAGGAATGCAGAAAATGAACAAATGTCTGATGAGGATATTGAGGATGAAGATCTTTTTAACACAAATTTTGGACAAACTTAACACTTCAGGACATAAAGTCTCTAATTATTCAGTAAAAGCATAATTGTTCCCTAGTACCAAAACTTAATAGACATGTTACAGTTATTTATGTGGTATGCAGGACAATTACTTGGCTTTCTGTAGGAAATGTCATTTGTTTCATGCTAAGAAATTTCAAATTCTCCATAAATTTAATATATGGGTGTTTGAAATGATTAACCTGGAAGCTATTTTCTTGCTTTGTTTATATGTCTGTGATATTTGCTGTTTTATAAAAAGCTATAATGTGAACACATTTTCATTGTTATACTCTGGGTAATTAACTATCAAGGGATACTAAATTTATGATCCATAGATTTACTTACACAATGAAACACAAAGTATCAAATCTTGAAAAATCCTGCATCTCTTGGTTGAAAGTGATGAAATACCAGTATTGGATCATTAAATTGTCCTTACAAATACAGTAAGGAAAGCATAAATTGGTTTTATTTTGAAGAATTTCACTAGAATTATGTTTGCCAGATGTGCAATGTATGAATGTGCTTACTGGAATTTGTAAATGGTTTGTATACTCTCTCAGAAATCTGTTGATGTTTGGAAAAGTCAAGGTACAATGAAACCTATTAGAGAAACTAGAAATATGTCCATAGGATATGAATGCCCTGCCCAGGGTTCATTATAATGCAACATGAAAATTTGTATTGGTGAATGAAGTTTGATGAAAATATCTTGAAAAGTTTCTTTAAAACTGAGTTTTATACACAATAAATAGTAAAGTCAAAGGTCATTGGGAAGGTCAAGATAAAAAATAAAAAAAAAATTGGACACAGTTGGTAAATTCTTACAAAATAATGTATCAGTGTACAAGCTTACATAAAAATATCTTGAATTGTTGAAACTGAGCTAAAAACAAATTACAGAAGTAAGGTCAAGATAAAAAAAAAATGTTAATGAATTTGAAAAGCTCTCCTCATTATGTGTCAGCATGTAAAGTTTGACAAAAATATCTTGATTTGCTTTTTTGAGACTTAGCTAAACGCAAATTTGAGAAAAGCGAGGTCAAGGTAAAAGGAAAGGTCAAGGTAAAAAATGTTGATGCAGTTGAATAGCTCTCATCAATATGTATAAGCATATGAAGTTTGATAAAAATATTTTGAATAGTTTCATTGAAATTTAATTTAACATAAATTTAAAGTCAAGATCAAATGAAAGATCAAGGTCAAAAATGTTGCTGCAGTTGAATAGCTGTCACCAATGTGTATCAGCATATTTGATTTAAGATATCTTGAATAGTTTCTTTGAAACTGAGCTTAAAGTTGCTTGAATAGTTCTCATCTATAAAAATTGATAAAAATATCTTAAATAGTTTCTTTTAAACTGAGCTAAACTCTAATGTAAAATAAGTGAGGTCAAGGTCAAAAAATATTAATGCAGTTGAATATCTCCCATCAATATGTATCAGCATATGAAGTTTGATAAAAATATCTTGAATAGTTTTTTTGAAACAGTTAAATGCAAAGTGTGACGGAAGGAAAGACGGACATAAACGCTATATGCCCCTGCCGTATTCATGCAAAGATTTATACCTGAAAGTTCATGACATCTTAAGAAGGAATAAGTAAATCATGCTAATATACGCAAATAGAAAGAATTTAAGTTTATGATTGTATATCTCCCACAATGGAGGAATGTAGAAAGGACGTAACTTACCAACATTTGCGATAGAATGTAATGATGGAAAAGTAAAGAATTGTCAGGTGTGAACTCATTATCTACCCTGGTACATGTATGGGTATTGAACAGCCAAAATACGAATCCAGTTTCCACACAATACGTATCACATTATTTCAGAAATTTATACCACGGACTTGCTCTGAGGTCTTTAACTCCATCTTCACATACTCCCGCTACATTGTTTTTTAGCAAAATGAACGATGGAGATTCTGGTAAAGTAATCATCTCCAGTCTCTCCGGGTAAAAGGACTTGACTTAGGTACAGGAATTTTATAGAAGAAATCAGTTTTGTTCAAGTTTCACCCAAATGCAGCAAATCTCATCTAAATCAGCCACAAACACGTACCACAATCTCATCAATGTTGAAGTGGATTGGAAATGGCCAGAATTAAATAGAAACATAGATGGCATGTAGTCAGTGGGCAATAATTTTCCAGTTAAAACCAATGTGCCTACGATCTAATGATCTTTGGAACATTGTAAGATGTAAATGCATAACGGTGTGTGACTTGTAGAGGGTGCACATGATGTCCTTCTTTAACAGGAGGTGGTGATTGTCGTTGAATCAATTGTGCAAATATTGACCAAAAAAGACGAATTGAAGTTCAAATCTATTTGTGTATATTTTAAAGACTGGCCATTTTAGCCCCCCTCCTCCCATGAAATTGTGCTTCTTCGAAATTGCAGGTCCCATCAGTTTTATTCTAAGAGATATATATATATATATATATATATATATATATATATATATATATATATATATATATATATATATATATATATATATATATATATATATATATATATATATACATACATTTAAGGGAACAAATCCTAAAACAGTTTATTCTTGCAATTATTTTAGGTTCGCTATATGTAGTCATTTTATTTTTACAGGCCTAACAATAGATTAATTAAGATGTGGTGTAAGGCTTGGTACAGGGTTGTAATTTTTCTGTTTATTGTTTTGTACGGTAAAACAGTTCATATAAATATTTCGTTGATTCTTATTTCTCAAGATCAGACTCTGGAGCCATAAAACTTAGATGAGCTCACTTTTGATCTCAGTCTCACTTTTACAGAAACAATTTATAATGGAAAGTGAGACTGAGATCAAAAGTCATCGTCGCAAGCCACGGGTTTTGTGTCCATTCTATTTCCACAAACAGAATGGGCACAAAACCCGTGGCTTGCGACGATGATCAAAAGTGAGCTCATCTAAGTGTCATGGCTATGAGGCGCCGTTTTGGTATTTACTGCCAAAAAGTGATATCACCTATTTGAATAGGTGATATCACTTATTCGAATGGGTGATATCACCTATTCAACTTGAATTGGTGATATCACCTATTCGAATAGGTGATATCACCTATTCAAATAGGTGATATCACCTTATGACAGTAAATACCAAAAGGGCGCCTCATACATGGCCCTGGAGCCAGGTCCAAAGAGTCGGAATTTGTACACTGTCAAATTTTTTAAAATAAATTATAGAAAACACTTCAAGGAAATTAAGGATTGTTTTCTTCCTATTCCATGTTGTTGGTGTTATATTCAAATAATTAATGTTAGTTTACAATATATATTCATATTAAAGAATAACTGAAATTTGGAGACTGGAGTCTAGAAATGTCTCATGTTCTACATCAGTGTACCATGAATGAGTTTGAAAAAATAGCTGTATACCTGACTTGAACTCGTATTTTGCATTGATAACAACAACAACCCCCCCCCCCCTTTTAGTGATACAGTTTAGATATTGAATTAGAATATGCGTATCTAAAGTACTGCTGACAAAAAAAATCGTTATTTATTTACTTATTTAATTAAAAAAAAATTCTACAGAATTGAAGCTAATTATGAAGAAAATGTGTATCTAAGAAAAAATCTAGATTTGAGCGAAAATACTTTAAGGGAAATATTTCATTCAGCCTAGACGATTGACTGTAAGGTAAATTTCAATGAAAACAGCACCATGTACACTTACTTTTTAATGCCAGTTAAAAATTTCAGGACTGTCAATAAAAGATCAATCAATTTAGGTCACTACTGCGTGTCATACTCAGTGTTACTGTGGAGGCAAAAATTATGGCAGATTTGTGGACCCTTTTTCTTGCTTGTGCGGTAATAATTTTGTATGTGTGGTGGAAGAAAACCTCTAGGGACTCCTCCTTACCCCCGGGTCCACCCACCATTCCTTTCCTAGGAAATCTACTCTCTGTGTCTCCTGATACTATGTTGGAGAATTTCCAGACTTACAGAAAAAAGTATGGAGATGTTTTCAGCTTGATTACAGGTACCAGGACAATGGTTGTTGTGAACGGAATGGACACCATTCGAGATATTTTCATTAAGCATGGGGACATCGTTTCCGAAAGGCCAGATCTTTTTGCAACCAAAGAAATATCCAAGTATAAAGGTATATGGATAAGCTTAATGTTTACATAGCATTGTACAGGAGCTTGTTGAGGTCATATTTTGTAATTTTTGAAAAAAAGGCGTATCAAATGATTTTTGCAGGCACCGAAAAGGCCAACTTTATAAATTAATTTATTGTCCACTTTTAACTTGTTATTCATTCATCTTTTTACTCTTGGGGCCTTAACCTCAGTGAGATTTCACAGGACAATAATACCCAGTAATTTCTGCACATGCTGTTTTCTTCCTTTGTTTTCTTTTTGCCTTGTTTGGTTTGCTTGTTTCATGGTTTTATTTTGTTTGTTTTTTTTTTGAAAATTTAGTCATGTACTCATTAACAATTGATCTTTGTAAATTTAGTGGAAGACACACGTATTAAAATTTAAAAAAAATCTTCCTTTTGATGATATAAAGATACCAGTATAAGTTAAGACTTTGTGTGTAAAAGGGTGAGGAATAACCAACGACACAATCAACAATACATGTTTCATGTGTATTATTATACACCATTTCCATATAGGTGTCATCCTCTCCTCGGGGGAATTTTGGAAAGAGCAAAGAACATTCAGTCTAAATGCTCTCAGAGAGTTTGGATTTGGAAAACGAAGCTTGGAATCTAAAATATTGGAGGAGGTGGATGTTTTTGTCAACGAAGTTCAGTCAACAAATGGACAACCATTCAATATGCAAGCTTTGATAACTGTATGCGTCTCAAATATTATGTGTTCAATTAACTTTGGTGAAAGATTTGAACATAATGACAAATATTTCACGTCACTCATCAAAACAATTAACGAAAATCTAAGCAATGGAAACATAACGTTTCTAGCGAGCATTCTTCCGTTTTTAAGGTATGTTCCAGGTGATCCATTAAAGATTAGGAAAGCATTGAAGAATGTTGATGTGGTGGAAGAATATCTTTTTAAAAATATCAGTGATCACAAAGAAAGCTTTGATGAAAATAATGTCAGAGATTTCATCGATGTGTATTTGAAGAAAATGAAATCGGAAGAGAGCAACCCAAACACGACTTTTGATGGTGAGTTAATACCACACGTTTGTAAATCCATGCAATTCTTGTGGAGTTGCACGAAGTGAAGTGTGTTTGAAAAAGTATATGTATTCGGTTTTTGCAGCAAAACAGTAGGGATCAATAAATTTACTTTCACTTTTTTCTGCTCTTTATGATCAATGGGGCTTGTCATAAAATATTTGCCTTCTTTAAAGATAGTCACCCTTTATAAATATTATGGTATGTTGCAACCTTGATGAATATTTATTTTTCCCAGTGCAAATGTTCTTGCTGTAGGAGTTCTGAAATTATTATCCGAAAATTCTGTATTCAATAAGGTATAGACTTAATAGGGGTCTGTTGTCAGACACACAGACACAATGACTGATAAAAGTTTGTACAGAAAAGATCACTCGAAGTAATAGGATATTTGAGCATCCAAACGGAATATCCCGACACACTTTTGAAAAGTCTCACTTGAATGAAAAAAGTGAATAATTTAAACTCAATCATATGCGGATCGGGGGGGGGGGGCTGGTTGGGTTCAGGACCCCCTCCCCCCCCCCCCGGACGGGATTTTCAGAGTTCAAATTAGTGTAGTCAAGAAAGGAAAAATGACCTTGAACACCCTAAGAAACACGGTTCCCCTAGTAAAAAAAAAAGGCTTCTGGTAAAATGGTAGGGAGAATCATTTATATGAATGTAAGTGACATGTCCAAAATCTGTGCATGTAATTTGCCCTTTATGTAAGATTTTTGTTGTAACATTAAGAATTGCTTATGTAAACAATGGTACAGACATGCTGAACATCTAATTTAATAATTAAAAAACACCTAAGAAAAGATTTGCTTTGCGTCAGATCTATTAGGATGCAATTACAAAATAACAAATGTTAACTTTTACAGACGCACAATTGATAAAACTTTTGGGAGATCTTTTTGTTGCTGGAACGGAAACAACATCTACAGCACTTAGGTGGTTTGCTGTTTTCATGATCAGGAATCCAGAAGTGCAGGAAAAGATGCGCAAAGAAATCAATGACGTCATAGGAAATACGAGATACCCTACTATAAACGACAGACCAAATCTACCTTATACAGAGGCAGTCCTCCACGAAGTACTTCGTATTGGATGTATCGTCCCTTTATCTGTCCCTCATGGATTAAAAACTGATTTAAAATACAAAGAATTTATTATTCCGAAAGATGTTATTTTAATTCCTAATTTATATTCCGTACTTTTTGACCCAGACGTGTTTGAAGATCCGGAAGTCTTCCGACCTGAGAGATTCTTGGATGATGAGGGAAAATTGATTAACACAGACAAAGTCTTGACATTCTCAGTTGGTAAGAGTTTTAATTTCCCTTGGTTCCATCACGAATATCTATAAGGATTTTTGTATTTTGAAAAGGAATTTGTCAGATTTGTAAAGATTTTGAAGACTATCTATGTCGCCAGAAATGATCCATTTATAAACATAGTAACAACTTTGAACAACTGAAAATGCACGTTCTATATTTTTACTATGCAGAATTGACTTGCAGTATTTTTTCCTGTACATGTTAGGTTAAAAATTCCATACAAAACTTTTGGATTTTTTCCTTCCCATTTTGTTGATATATATTTGTAGTAGAGAACGGCATTACATTTTTTTTCAAACCTGTACACATTATAGCAGGCGCGGATCCAGGAATTTTTCGGGGAGGGGGATCAGTGAAAAAAAATTCCAACCCAGAAATTTCTTGACAAAAAAAGAAGTTCAAATCCACTTCCAAAACGTGAAAAACTATTTCGTGGTTGGATCCGGGTTTTCAAGGGGGGGGGGGGTCCAAAGTCATTTTTTATTTGCTTCAGTATATAATTTTAATAACTCTGCAAATTCGGGGGGGGGGGGTCCAGACCCCCCCCTCTCTAGATCCGAGCATGGAAGACATACGCCTTTTGTTTTTAACAAATAACTAAGTTACAGTACATGGAAAAAAAATTACCAGATCAATTGAAATAGTCTTGTTAAAAAAAAAGGGGGGGGGGGGGTATATCAAAATTTTTGCAGCATGCACTTGACAATTTCTATGTGGAAATATAGATACTACGATGGCCGATATGGGCCGGGGCAAAAAGTAACCACGAGTTGTGTTTGATTTGCCGGCAATTCTTAGATGCTGGCAAAAATTAACCACGAGTTGTGTTTGATTTGCCGGCAATTCTTAGATGCCGGTAAATCTTCGTTACATGCAATAGCAATTCTCATATGTAACATTTAATTTAAATGCCAGAGAATATCAAGGTCACAGAAGTCATGTTAACTTAACAGGGCAAATGGTTTGAAAAAAAAACAAAAAAAACCCAGAATACTGAGAGAAGTGAGGGGGGGAAACGCATACAGGCATTGTTTAAGGGGTTTCCAGACCCGTGCACTCCACATAAAAGTATAATATCTTTTAAAATTCATACCAACACATATTTTATTTGATCTTCAATAGTTGTGTTAATTTTTTTTTTGATAACAAATCTAGAGATCCCTCAAATACTTAATGAACGCTGTACACGCTGCCTGCTGATTGACGGCCCAGCTACATGTAGTCAATTGATTAGATGTTTAAAAAAAATTGTCTGGTTCATAAACTACCAAACTACCATAAACACTTGTGAGGATGATCATGAAAGTACAGAAAATATCTGAATTTGTATTGTCTGTTTTTATCTAGGCTCCACCATATCCTAAGCAAAAATTATGAAAAACCACTTAATGAGGATGAAGAGCAGTTTACACTTGTAGATTTGCGTAGGACCGATATACATTACACAAGAAATGTTTTATTTTCCTATATACAGTGAACGTAACCCAGACTAGTGTTGAAATAGCCCCCGATCCCTACCCCCATCCCCCGTTATAGACTTCTTTTAATTTTCGGGGAGGCTGCTTTGTAGCCAGTTAAATATCTTGACTTCGCTTTGATATGAAACTGCTTTGTTGTTGTTTTTGGTTTTTTGTTTTTGTCAAACTCTTTGCCCAATTAAGATAACTTGACTTCTGAAACCTCTATATCCTCTGGCAATTTAATTAAATATTTTAAATAAGAATTGCCGGTATCTAAGATTTGCCGGCATCTAAGAATTGCCGGCAAATCAAACACAACTCGTGGTTACTTTTTGCCGGCATCTAAGAATTGCCGGCAAATCGAACACAACTCGTGATTACTTTTTGTCCGGCCCATATCGGCCATCGTAAGATACCTACCAAGACAGAGAAAAAATCTGTGTTTCGTTTAATGTCAAATGTACTTTTTGATATTTTTTTTTAGATCGTCATGTTTATCTTTTTATATCTTTTATCTCAGGTCGTCTTGTGTATCTTATTATATCCTTTGTTTCATTTTAGATCGTCATTTTTATCTTATTATGTCTTTTGTTTTATTTTTAGGTCGTCGTATTTGTCTTATTATATACTAGTATCCCTTGTTTTATCTCAGGTCGTCGTGTTTGTCTTGGCGAATCCTTGGCTAGGATGGAATTGTTTCTGTTTGCTTCATCTATGGTGCAGCGATTTAAAATCCTTCCTGCTGACCCCAAACAGATACCACCATTGAAAGGGGTTCTCGGGGTGACTTATGGTCCAAAAGACGTCTTATTAAAGGCAACCAGTGTTTAGTTGTTTAATTTCTTGTATACAAAATGCACAAACTTGATTTTCTTATCTTCTTTTTATACGCATTTTGAAGATGAAGAGATGAGCCGATGCTATACTTGTTTCGACGGTGTCGGTTTCAGATTTCTTTTAGGAGCTAGTCCATTCTCATATAACCAAAAGCCCTATCACGACAAAGCATGCACGAGTGATCCATCTAGTTCAGCTAGAGATATACATACACACTATTGCACATCCGAATTGCATCCGTCCTACATTTTCTAAATGATCAGTTTAAACTTTTTTGAAGCAGACGCATTCTCAAGGGACTATGACAAAATTTATATGGATAACGCAATCAAGGATACACACTGCCGAACTTGCTTGGTATTCTGCATATGACTTACATTTTCTGAATGAGAGGCTGTTCAAACTATTTTGAACAGGTCAATTCCCAAGTAAGCATAAGCGCTATTCTGACCTAACTTGCATACATGGATAACTCCATTACATCTTTTAACGCTGTATATAAGTACAATATTTTCCCAACATGTATATTCGAAACATGGTATGAGAGTTGCAAAACTCACTGACAATTAAAGACCTATGAAATGAGCAAAATGTATATCCATATTTCAGTACATGTGTATATCTATATCAGTTTGGTTTTCTAGGAATGTATTCGATTGGTAATCACAGATAGAATTGATTAAATAAATAGTTGATACTACATTGTAGGTAGCATATTATGTATTATCATTATTATGAAAGTGGACTAATATACTTTTAACATTCCAGTCAATGGAAGTGAGTTTGATTTACTTCACCAATACTGGATTCCAATAATTCATAGAAATCCTAACAAAGAAAGATATATTGCAGGGCCCAGTAAATGTTTATCCAAGCCCTTATCCTTACCCTTCACCAAAATGTTAACTATTGCAACACTTCAGACTTCACGAGAAACTTCAGACGTGTTGTACAACTACATATTCAAGAAGTGGTGTAAATCAAATGTTGGATTCTAAAAACTCCAAAGAGTTTATGGAAAATTTGAAATCTAAAAACTTTTCAAACATCAAAAGCATCAACGCATACGACTTTTCTACGCTTTGTACAACCATCCCGTACGATAAATAAAGACCATACTGTTTGACAACACAGACAACTGTTTCCTTAATAAAGATGGAACTCGCAAAATTTCATATATTGTGATTGGTTATCTACAAAATTACTTTATTAATTATTAAAAGATGGGGTTCCTCATTGACAATATCTATGTAGTCTTTAGAGGCCAGGTCTTCCAACAATCTGTTGGAATTACTGTTAGCACTAGCTGTACTCCTTTAGTAGCCGACCTGGGTGGGGTTTTTTTTTGTTCCTTTGAAGCAGAATTTATTCAAAACTTCTTTTTCAGAAGAAAACTCTTGCTGTGGCCTTCAACTCGATATTTAGATAAATCGACGATGTTTTATCAATTAACTGTAGTTACTTTCACTTATCACTTATACGACGGTTTTAGAAAAGTTATATTGTGAGCGCGCTATTTGCATGAAATCGGTAAAACTCTGCAGTTAAAAACTAGACGTATTTTCCAATTAATATGCAAAGAGTTGGTGTTCTCCGATGATCTTTAAAAAATATACAGCTAAATTGTTTAGATAAAACATGCTTCATGGAGCATATTATACTTTTTCCCACCTTTGTATCATTGTTGCGGTCTTTTTCCTTTGATGTCCACTGTGTTTTTATTTCTGATACACCATGACTAACTGTGCTCTAACAACCATGCTCTATCAAGATAGAACACACCAGGGTAATGATGCAACAACTCCAATGACCCTTGACCTTACATTGATAAAGAAAAAGAATATATAAACAAAGTAGCAGACTTTATGAGCAAAATACAAGCACATATAAACATAGTGAAGGTATATCTTTCCTTAGGTCTACATAAAAAATTCTAAATTTTGCACGTCAATTTTTTTTAAATCCAAAACGAAATTCACACACGCACATTTTTATAAATGAATGTTTTCGTCTCTCATAAACTTGAAGCATAACAAACCACACACAATGTAGTACAGGGAGCGAGGTGGATATTCCTTGTTTTCTAATTCCAACACAAATCGCTGCATCCAGTAATTTAGAGAATCGCTGTTCATCTCGGTCAAAAGTGGACATTTTCCCGTGCCGCACGCCACTCCTTAGCTTGAACGTTACGAGGATATTTTTTGAGAGTCTATCAAACGCTGAATTTCATAATCGGACACTTGTACAAACCTTTCATTTTTCGTCTTCGTGTCGACCTCAGGACTGGTGAAATTTACGCCATCGTGTCTAAAATATCTCCTATATCGAAATCCGTAATAGGTTCAATTTTTAGTTCCGGTAGATCAAACGTCATACTTCCCAAAGAATCTTCAACCTGCATCTGGTTTCCTAACTGATCTATGGAATTTTCCCTCATAATTTCGGTTTCCGTGTCTGTAAGAATTGCGAAAGCATAAAATCACAACCGTCATTCATGGCGTTCAAAATATGAATGGACGAGGTAGAAAGTTCAAGAAATACAGCGCGCTATACTTTCCGAATCACGTGCTCTTTTTTCATTGGTTATATAAAATGGTATGATGAAATTTTGATAGATCATGGTTAATTCAGTGCATGGGAATATGTAGTTGAATTAAGTGCTATTAACGTGAATTTGATAGATCATAGGTAGCTCAATACCCGAGAACAATGATACAAAACATATAGAGTACCTTTTAACTCGTGCATCTTCAGATATCAGACTCGGGGGACAAGCCCCCTCGTCTGATATCTGAAGATAAACTCGTTAAAAGGTACTCTATATATTACTTACAACATGTCTTGATACTGTTTGCATCAATTGGTGTGTATATTATATTATATTTACGAAAAATATAACATCTCAGTAGGAAAACGAATCAAATCCACAAGTGATTTCAACAGATTAAATGTCGCCAATGCAAACTCTTCTTTTATTACTTCTTTTTAACGGCTGAAATTCATACAACACCAAATAGGGTGTCAGCCCTGTTTCCCATTGCAATTTCAGACATTGTTATAGATAATTTAACTTGAAAAATGAAAAACTTCTCACACGGATTTTATCATAACCTCACCTGTATGTTCATGACAACGAACCAGTTTCAGTGCTTAACTTTAAAGGTTTCTGACAACGGTACTGTCTAGAAACTTAACGTGTTCCTGGCCGTGAAGACCGGTCCTTCGGATGAGACCATATAAACAGTAGTCCAGTAGTAGGTGCTGGCACGTAAAAGACCCCCACTGCTCATGATCAAGGCCCTAAGTGACGAGTAAAGGTCTAAATTTGCAGCCCTCCACCGGCAAGTGGTGGCGTCTGAATATGAGCACAGGAGTTCGCAATTTTATCAATAAAGTCAATAGAAATCACTCGATTGACCAAGCCATGAGCTATGCTAAAATTGCGAACTCCTGTGATATGAGTGAAAAATTCTCGAAGGGACGTTAAGCAAATAAACAAACAAACAAGATTTTACAGTTGAGAAGGTTATTACTGCGTGCCATACTCATCGACAACTGACTTTCAAGGAAAGATAATGATAGATTTGTGGACACTTTTTCTTGCCTGTGCGGTTATTATTTTGTGCGTGTGGTGGAGGAAAACCTCTAGGGACTCCTCCTTACCCCCGGGTCCACCCACTATTCCTTTCCTAGGAAATCTACTCTCTGTGTCTCCTGATACTATGTTAGAGAATTTCCAGACTTACAGAAAAAAGTATGGGGATGTTTTCAGCTTGATTACAGGTACCAGAACAATGGTTGTTGTGAACGGAATGGACACCATTCGAGATATTTTCATTAAGCATGGGGACATCGTTTCCGAAAGGCCAGATCTTTTTGTAACCAAAGTAATAACCAAGTATAAAGGTATAAGACTAATATTTTACAATATTCGTAGTTAGGTACATACAGAAACTTGTTGGGGTCATTTTTTTTATAATTTTCAAAACAATTTGTACAAGTATATCTACATATATTACTTTTACCAGGGACACCATTTGAAAATTAAATTGTGTTTATAATGATATATATCTTATATATTCTTGGGGTCTGATGTCTTGAACCTCTATCAGATTTCATATGACCATATTCTTAGCATACTTAAAGGGGGTCTTTTTTGGTTCTTTTTCTATTTTTACATACACATATGCAAACATCCTCAGAAAGTTTCAAAGTAAGTTTACTCCAATCATGGCCTGCGGGTATAGAGATTAGTCACAGTAATGGATTATAATTTATCTCCAAGAAATGGATGGAGAGAGAAAAAAATCAGGGCAACAATAAAAATAGGATAAAACTTGTTCAGTTTTTTCCACCCATGACCCCGAGGTATAGTTGGGGCCACCAGGACAAGACATCAAATATATATGAAAAATCTTTTATATTTTCTCCAAAACAGCAATGTCACAAATACTCATATTGATAATCATGCATACCAATGTACTGCGAATTCATATTTATTCAAAACATGACTCATTGAGCTTTGAGGAGGATAAAATAGGTAATGTAAAAGTACTTTTTTTCAGCATTGGTATAAATTTACGCTATGTACGCCGTTACAAATTTTCCGCGGAAATTTGTCCCAGCGTACTTATTTGTATTTAGAAATTAATGAAATTTTCAAAGATTCAAGACGAGAATATCAAGTGATGATATCAGTTAGAATTAATTTGACCGTTTTATTTTAGAAGCAAGGTCAGGTCAAAATCATTATATTTTTGAATAACATATAGAATGAAAAAAAATTATGTTGCCAATCATGTGATGCCTATTCCTATTTCAAAAGATAAAATGTTCTTCTTTTTGCTTAAAAAATGATGTTACTATATAAGGTATATCAGATGATAGTACTAAATTGACAAAAATAATTTAACTGAAATAGTTATCGGCTAACTCGAATTTCTTATCTTTTACTGAAATTTTAAGGGAATATTAGTTATTTTTATATGCTTCATATATTTAAATTTTTCTAATTTTCACATATGGCAAAGTAATTTTATAAAGATACAAAATGATATAAAAACAAAAAGTTTTGACCGTTTAATAAGAGAGAACCCCCCCCCCCCCATTTTACTAATTTTAGCTCATATCTGTTCTTAGAGACTTAGACTGGAAGCTTTCAAAAGTTAACAAGATTTTAATTTGTTTGGAAAATCATACTTATTTGATACATTTTAAACTTTAGTCCATGATTATCAATTTCAGTTCCATATGAAAATTTCATTAAGTCTCTTATTGTTTAAAATTTCCAGATAAATTCATTGTTTAGTAGATATTTTGAGAAGCATTAAAGGAGATATTTTCATACACCGCCGTTCCGCCAAAAATATGGTTCCTGCTAGATTTCAAACTCGGTTTACCATTTTTATTCTTAGTTGTACAGTTGTCCGGAGGAAAGAAAAATATGATTTTTTAAATCTCTTACATCAAAATATATAGTACATATAAGTAAATATACTTTGAATATTTCATTTAGTCAGAAACCAGACAAGAATCCCTCCTTAAAGTACATTTAAGGCATATGGTGGTAATCATATGGTGGTAAACCCTAGGATTGAACAGAAATTGTGATAAAATATACGGTCAAAATTTTTTATGAGAAAATAAACAAACAATGTTTAACATGGTGAGCGTTGTGATATTTGGGTCTCTTGTTACATAAAGGTGTCATCCTTTCCTCGGGAGAATTTTGGAAAGAGCACAGAACATTCAGTCTAAATGCTCTCAGAGAGTTTGGATTTGGAAAACGAAGCTTGGAATCTAAAATATTGGAGGAGGTGGATGTTTTTGTCAACGAAGTTCAGTCAACAAATGGACAACCATTCAATATGCAAGCTTTGATAACTGTATGCGTCTCAAATATCATGTGTTCCATTAACTTTGGTAAAAGATTTGAACATAGCGACAAAAATTTTATGTCACTCATCGAAGCAATAAACGAAAACTTAAGCAATGGAAATATGATGTTTCTAGCGAGCTTTCTTCCGTTTTTGAGGTATTTTCCAGGTGATCCATTAAAGATTAGAAAAGTATTGAAGAATGTTGATTTGGTGGAAAAGTATCTTTTAAAAATTATCAGCGATCACAAAGAAAGCTTTGATGAAAACAATCTTAGAGATTTCATCGATGTGTATTTGAAGAAAATGAAATCGGAAGAGAGCAACCCAAACACGACCTTTGATGGTGAGTTAATCTAACAGAATTATTAATCTATAAACTATGAGAGAGTTGCACGAAGCAATGCGTCTTTGAAGTTTATATAGGTATTTTGACTTTGCAGGCAAAAATAAGTAACAAGTAAGTGTACACAATCTTAAGCTTTACTTTTTACTTCCGTATTCTACATTCTAAGTAGATGATGAGATTTGCAACCCTCAATGTAAAAAAACTCCCCAAAAACATGAGATTAAGAGTAAATGTTAACCTTTGTGTAAAAATAATTACTCTTAATTTGCTATTTTTTGAATGAACATTTATGTGTTATTAAAAGATAAATTGACTCTTGGTGTAAAAATATATAATTTCCAAGCTAAATCTTTATCCACTCTGACAATGTCAAGGTCTTCCCTTTCATATTAAGCCCATCGTCTAGCATACTCCTCGCCGGAATTCATAATGGAAATGAAGTTTTGTTGGCATTTGAAAGAGTGTGAGAGTTTTTACTTTAAGGGTCGTTTTTAGATTTAAAAATGTAATAGCATTCAACTATTTTCCAGATGAACAGTTGGTGAAGCTTTTGTTAGATTTCTTTGCTGCTGGAACGGAAACAACATCTACAGCTCTTAGGTGGTTTGCTGTTTTTATGATCAGAAACCCGGAAGTGCAAGAAAAAATGCGAATCGAAATCAATGACGTCATAGGAAATTCCAGGTACCCTACAATGGAGGACAGGCCAAATCTACCCTACACAGAGGCAGTTCTTCATGAGGTTCTTCGTATTGGATGTGTCGTCCCTTTATCTCTCCCTCATGGATTAAAAACTGATTTAAAATACAAAGAATTTATTATTCCGAAAGATGTTATTTTAATTCCTAATCTATATTCTGTACTTTTTGACCCAGACGTGTTTGAAGATCCGGAAGTCTTCCGACCTGAGAGATTCTTGGATGGTGAGGGAAAATTGATTAACACAGACAAAGTCTTGACATTCTCACTTGGTAAGAGTTTTAATTTCCCGGGATTAAATTGTTATGGCTTTTTTAATTAGTGATTGATTTGATCAGATTTTTCATTTCAGCATTGTCAAAAATGATGCACTTTAAAAAGATTTTTAAGACTTAAGTAAATAGAAAGAATAATTGTTATCTGCTTCTCCAGCAATAGTTGCATTTTTTGGTACAGAATTGATCAGTGATCACATTGTCTGTCATCCATCAGAAACTCGTCAAAGATACCTTTTTCGTCCATTATACATTGTAAATGTATTTTCACAATCGCCCGTTCAATTTTCTTTTTCATTAGAAACCCGTCAAAGATGAGATACCTTTTTGTGTCCATTATAAATGTAATTTCACAATCGCCCGTTTAATATTTTTATTTTTATTATTATTTATATCCTTTGTTTATTTCTCAGGTCGTCGTGTTTGTCTTGGCGAATCCTTGGCCAGGATGGAATTGTTTCTGTTTGCTTCATCCATGATGCAGCGATTTAAAATCCTTCCTGCTGACCCCAAACAGATACCACCATTAAAAGGGGTTCTCGGGGTGACTTATGGTCCAAAAGATGTCTTATTAAAGGCAACCAGTGTTTAGTTGTTTAATTTCTTGACTAAATGTATGAAATGCACAAATTTCATATTTTCCATCAATCAGTCGATTTCTTTTTGAAACATTTAAAGTAATAAGAGCACAAGTATTAGTTAACTAAATAATGAAATGCATGTCAGTTATTCCCTAGGCATAAGATTAACAGTTATTCATTGGCACCATGCGCTCTTAATTGAAGTGGCCTATTTTAGCTAAGTTAGCCACCCTTTTGCTTCACACATTCGTTAGATAAAATAACATTAACAAAACTATAGGTTTCACATATTTCATAAAGTAATCTCTTGAGTTGTCACTTTTAACTATAACCTTGTCTTACAAGTATCAAAAATGATACATGTACAATAGTCCCCTAGCCAATTATTTTCTTTAATAAAGCAGTAAGCGTTCATTAATTCACATGATAAGAATGTTCAACGATCGATGACCGGCATTCTTTAGTATTTTCACTGCAATGTACGATTCATTTCCATAAAGATACAAAATTTAATTTACTGTCAGGCAATTTTAACTCACCTCAACGAAGACGAAATGAGCTTATGCTATACCTATGGCGTCGGCTTTAACGTTGGCGTCCCGGTTTAAGGTCCATTCCCAAGTAACTATTAGCCAATGCTGACCAAACTTGCATGATTGATGCATCTAGCGGTGTACACCACTAGACTTGCTTCGGATGCGGTATCTGACGATATATTTTCTAGATGAAAGAAGGAGTAGGTCCATTCTCAAGAAATTACATGTATGAGCCCATTGGAGACAAAACGTGCAGGTTGATGCTTCATCTAGGTATGCACATTTACCAGATCTGTGTTTGGAACAGGTCCATTCCCAAGTAACTGTGAGCCCTTATGGTTATTTTCATTCATATTTCGACTCTCAATATATCCTAGTGAATTCGAAATAAAAGACACCACAGTATGCTAGATCTATTTCATACCTGAATGCTTTACTGACTACAGAAGATAATGGCCAATGAATAACTAAACTGTTTGACACACGGGATGACTTCAGCTTTTCTATCGCCAACTTCACTTATGTTTGTAGTCATATTCCAAAACCTGCATATGATTTCTATATCTTCAAATTTATTCGACACTTAAGAGCATGTTCTCAGTACGAACATTTTTTAACCGAGACAAGCTACTGGCAAGTAAGTTGATTTTACAGGGATTTCAACACCTTCGTTTAAAGTCAGCGTTCCCCGAATTCTACGGTCGTGATAATGACCTTGTTTGCAAATACAACCACTCTTTGGGTAGTATTTTGTCTGAGACGTTTCATATCAATTATTAGGTCATTGCTTGTATACTATATTTGTATTCGGATTACTTTTTTTATTTAAACATATTTTATTATGTAATGGAATATAAATGGATTGGGAAGCAGACATTGCCTATATAACCCCTCTCCATGATTACTACGGAGTACTCCGTCCACCTAATTAGTACATAGGGCTCACGACGGGTGTGACCGGTCAGCAGAAGACGCTTACTCCTCCTGGGCACTTGGTCCGCCTTCTGATGATTCCAGTGCTCTGTGTTTTTGCTCTATTCACGATTTGTATTTTTTATTGCGTTTCTGAGATTGTTAACTGCTCTTCACTGTTCCACACCTTTTAACATTCATTCCCAAGTAACGATAAGCCCTATGATGACAAAAATTGGATGGATGATGCATCTAGAAATGTGCACTACCAGAATTTGTTTTTCATGTGAGTCTTTGCTTTACCAATATAACTTTCGTTGAGGTTAGCTTTGTAATCTTTGATTACCTATTATTCATTATTTAGCTTTGTAATCTTTGATTACCTATTATTCAGTATTTAGTTTTGTAATCTTTGATTACCTATTATTCAGTATTTACCTTTGTAATCTTTGAATACCTATTATTCAGTATTTAGCTTTGTAATCTTTGATTACCTATTATTCATTATTTAGCTTTGTAATCTTTGATTACCTATTATTCAGTATTTAGCTTTGTAACCTTTGATTACCTATTATTCAGTATTTAGCTTTGTAATCTTTGATCACCTATTATTCAGTATTTAGCTTTGTAACTTTGATTACCTATTATTCAGTATTTAGCTTTGTAATCTTTGATTACCTATTATTCATTATTTAGTTTTGTAATCTTTGATTACCTATTATTCAGTATTTAGTTTTGTAATCTTTGATTACCTATTATTCAGTATTTACCTTTGTAATCTTTGATTACCTATTATTCAGTATTTAGCTTTGTAATCTTTGATTACCTATTATTCAGTATTAAGCTTTGTAATCTTTGATTACCTATTATTCAGTATTAAGCTTTGTAACCTTTGATTACCTATTATTCAGTATTTAGCTTTATAATCTTTGATTTCCTATTATTCATTATTTAGCTTTGTAATCTTTGATTACCTATTATTCATTATTTAGCTTTGTAATCTTTGATTACCTATTATTCATTATTTAGCTGTGTAATCTTTGAATACTCTTTATTCAGTATTTAGCTTTGTAATCTTTGATTACCTTTTATTCAGTATTTAGCTTTGTAATCTTTGATTACCTATTATTCATTATTTAGCTTTGTAATCTTTGATTACATATTATTCAGTATTTAGCTTTGTAATCTTTGATTACATATTATTCAATATTTAGCACCTAATTTGCCTATATTTGGCCAGTCATTGTGTAATTCTACAGCATGGTATAAAAGTCGTTTAAATATTTTAAATAAAGACCTATGAAATGTACAAATATATTGATATATGTACATATTTATGTGTATAATTGAATAAATTCAAGCGGTGGTCAACAGTCATGATGTTTGATTTCGTGATGATTTTTTGGTTTTCTTGGTTATGTTAAATTTGATACAGACATTCAATTATTACTGTACAGTAAAATACTTTGAGTTCAGAATACAGATACAAAAATATTGGATTAAGTAAAAAAAATGATGATAACATAGCTTTATTTATATAGCTTTGTTATTAAACTGAAGGTAGAATTGCAAAGCTTCGGTCAAAGAAAATTATTAATCATTTATCATGTTGAAAGAAAGTTTTAGAGAAAAGTAGCTATGAGCTGTTTGTGTGTGAGTGTTTTTTTGGGGGGAGGTGGGGGAGGAGGGAGGGGGTCATCTAATCCATGCAATAAAATTTGATTTTCACACATATGTACAAGGTTTGAGCAGGTCCCTACCTAACAGAAATATATATATATATATATATATATATATATATATATATATATATATATATATATATATATATATATATATATATATATATATATATAAGCACTGAGAAATTCACTTTTATAAGAATACCCTTAAAGATAGACGAAAAGTATTTTGCATTATCAATCATGTCAAACATGAGTGTTTGGGATACGTTTCGTCTCTGTTTTCGGCTGGGAATGAACCAACTGTTGGAGAAAATTGTCTTGGACTTGACAATCTTAATATGTCATAAAATGTACTTCAACCTTACAAAGATACTAAGTGAAGAAATAATTTTTAATAAGTTTTAAGGGAAAAAAAGAAATAAGTTGAATACGAAAAAAAATCAATAGTACCCATTAAATATATATTTATCAACGTGTTTATTGCTGTTTTCTGATAAAATACATGTATATTTTATTCTGGGAACCGTGCTATTTTATAACTACTACAAAGGAACTTATTTCTGTAATCTTTTTTTTAAACTTGTGTAGAATAATAATGTGTTATTATTATACTATGGGTTAAAAATTATTAAAGAAACAAGTATCTGGGTTAGTTATTTCGTTCCGAAGCAAGTTAACCCCTCTATAATTAAAAAAAATGGTGAACAGGTTTTTCTCGTCTTTAGTACCATATTTTGTAACTTGTACATTCAGATGTTTTGATGGACCCCACCTTCATACACATACAAACACATAGGCTTGAGGTCAATATTCAGGGGGATGTACTTAAGGCTGACCGTATTTCACATTATTGAGGCATATCGTACAGTGCTCTCTACATTGTATCTGTAAATTTACAGTTGATTTTAAACTGTATGTTCTTGCTTAATTTAGCATGTCTGACATTAAATCTGATATTAAATGACTACCTTAATTTTATCTATTTGTGCAACAAAGAAACAAATAAACAAGATAAATGCAAGAAATTCTATCTGTTTACATGTCTCGTTAAAACAATATGCTGCATGCATTTACTATGAGAATTTTTTTTCTTGAATAATTTTTAACAAACATAAAGAATATTTTCAGCTTTAATTACTCACACGCCAACAAAAATAAATAAATAAACAAGCAAACAACAACAAAAAACGAGACATTCACTGTATTACGACCAGTACATGTGTTCTCGGCAGATGTAAACATGGTCAAGGACTGATCGCCATATTACTCAGCATATTTAAAAAGGTAAGATAGAGGTGGCTGGGGTAAAAGCTTGCATGTAATTCAGTTTTTATCCAGACTGTTATTCATTAGAGTTGGTTTATAAAAAGACGGGGATTTACACAGGTACTCCAGATTTTGGACACTTTCGACACATTAACACAATGATTGATTTTTGGACTATTTTCCTGGCAAGTGTGGTTGTATTTTTATTTATATGGTGGCGGAAAACCACTAGAGACTCTACTCTTCCCCCGGGACCTCCGACAGTGCCATTTATTGGAAATCTCCTAAGTGTGAGTCCAAACACGTTACTGGAGAAATTTGAAGAGTACAAAAAGAAATATGGCGACGTGTTCAGTCTGGTCACTGGTTCCAAGGTACTTGTCGTTGTAAGTGGATATGATACCCTGCGGGATGTATTCATAAAACATGGAGATGTCGTATCCGAAAGACCAGACAGTTTTCTTACGAGGGAAATCGGTAAAAACAAAGGTATCTCATTTTATTTTAATTGAACCTTTTATGAATTATTTGAACATTTTGAAACATCTGTTAAGGAAGCTCTAACTACTGCACACTAAAGAGTTTTACTTGAAGGGTAGTTTTGTGCAGTTAGAGTGATCTGCCCTTAGAAGTAAGATAGAAAAATAGTTATTTACAGTTTATTACACAATTTGTAATAGATTAAAATATTCTCAGCATTATATTCGATCAAGTATAAGAAGTTGAATTCATTGTTTCCATTTATTTTCCCAATGTATGTAAACAACCATGATTTCTGTTCATGAATTGTCCCTTGTCCTTGAACATTTTTCCTGCGGAAATAAGGCAGGTATCCTATGTTGAAAATAAACTAAATAGTTTCAATATGCATACCCTTATATGACATATTTTTCTCCAAGTCCAAAAAGCACTTTTTGTTAGTGTTTAGAGCTTTCTTAACATGGTTAAAGTCGCTTGGTCTTAGAGTAATAACGACATCTTACGAACGAATGTAACAAAACGATTCAAGAAAAGGGATCGTTCATTGTATTCACGGTTGCATAATTGATTTTTTGGATGTTATGTACGAAGATTTCAATCGATAATATCCCCGCAAGAAACCTCAAAACTAATTCACGTTGCAGTCGTGACCCTACAATACAATACAGTGGACATTTAAACGACAGAAGGGGGTACCCAATTGGATTGGAAGTATCCAATCATTGATTGTCTGGAAAGATGGGGAAGGGGGGGGGGGGGTAAAAATAAACTTATAAGTGGACTTCAATTGTCATTACTTGATAGATGTAAATATAAAAAGTTACATTTTAACAAATACGTTATTATTAATAATATTTATTT